TCTACTTATTACAGGTAATGTGTACCGATTTACGACAAATTACCTTTCCTAACGAACGAATAACGAATTTAATATCGATGCCGATGCGGGAATGTCGGTAAACAAAAAATAATCATTTTCTCAGCAACATATTTTAGTGAAATACGGACCGAAGATTAAAATACTGCACTTATACTACAGTATATCTTCGATGTAAAGTAAATTATCATGATTCAATAGTGTTATTGATAATTAACGTGAAAGGTAAAGACACCAAAAATATAAGTATAATTTTCGAATGTTCTGTGAAACGTGTTCGTGTCAATAAGCTAAAGAATATTTAAATGTATTTACATCAGAGGCTAGTTCGATTATAAGTTTTCAAATTCCACGAAGGAAACGAGATTCTAAGAATAAGAACATACTTTATAGTGTAAGATCCGAATTTTGTCCTTAACCCATCTGCTTATCGAATGAAAAGTATCTTTATCAAACATAATAAGTAAACAAATATATTGTGGATGTGTGACCTAAGGAAATATGTCCTTGGCTGGAAACACATAAAAAAGTAATTGAAAGTATCAGAGGCTAATTCGATTATAAGTCTTCGAATTCCACGAAGGAAACGAGCTTCTAAGAATAAGAACATACTTTATAGTGTAAGATCCGAATTTCGTCCTTAACCCATCTGCTTATCGAATGAAAAGTATCTTTATCAAACATAATAAGTAAACAAATATATTGTGGATGTGTGGCCTAAGGAAATATGTCCATGGCTGGAAACGCATAAAAAGTAATTGAAAGTACAAAGCAACATCTATGTTGACTTATTTTTTTTCCATTACCGGGTTGCCAGGTATAAATATATTTTTGTTGATATTCGTACCCGTAAATAGATCCAAAACTTGTATTATTATGGTGATTAAATTCCATATTGTGATTAGAAACGATTGAATATAGAATGAATGGATGTCTAAATAGTTCTTACTGTATAAGATATTTTAACTCGCCTATATAGAGATTATAACACTTTATATTTCTATTCACAAATCCGCGTTACATTTGTGTACCTGTGGATTGCTGGAAGCATACAGGACACAAGCTACTGAACTGGTTTATTGTATTCTACGCAAAATCGTTGATTTAGTCCCACCAAACGTATTCCTGTGTTTTCTACTTAAATAATAACGTATGAGCAAATATATCTTCGCCATGTTAAATTTCGCGAAACTGGCTCGTCGATTAAGCTATTCTTCTGAAACCATAGTTTCTTAAACCACGTTTTGTAATAAGACGAAATATTTTTTAGCTTGCTAAACATGATTCTTCTTTACTCGAATGGAGCACATTACGATGTCATTCTATTGCAGCGTGTTATACTTAAAATCACATACTGATTTAAATTTTACGATAACTGTTTTCCGAAACCCGATTAATTCTGTTTTTTTTTTTACCTGACTGCATTGGTTAAATTCATAGACTTTAAGGCTCAAATATAAAAAAAAAATATATATATATATATATATATATATATATATATATATATATATATATCCTGCATTTCGGTAGGAGTACAACAAAACTGTCCCGTTCGAAGTAAAGTTATCTAAGTGCATTAGAATGATATACAATTTCACATCCGACCATATCATTATACACTCATCTTTTTAGAAAATATGTTTTATTTTTTGACCGTTTAACGATTTGATCATTCAGTTAATTGGACGTGTAAATAAACTCCGACATTTAGATTTAATTGATTGCCTGAAGATAGCAGATAATGAAAGGTTAAAAAAGATTCTGGGTGATGATGGTTTTTATGGAAGTTCCGATTTCCAAAGCAGGGTTTATAATTCAAATCGTTTGGATAAGTTATCTAATTGGCAAATGTCAAAATGGACAAATTCAAGTACTTATTTGGTGAAGATTTCACATAATTCCAACTTCCATCAACTTATTTATCGATACGACATTTTTATTAACATTCCATTGATAGAAATATTCTATTAATAAATTTGAATGTTTACTAGCGAGCTATCATTTCAAAATTATAGAAAAATCATACCATCGGATTACAACAGATAAAAGTACTCCATGTACTTTTATCTGTCGTAATCCGTAACGTATCTAAAGATATTGTCATCGTTAACATTGAATAAATATATTTCATAAAATTTTACCAAAAAACTAAACTAATGTCTGCCACTTCAAGATAATAAACAAAAGTAAAAGTGATATTGTTGCACATAATTTTTCGTCGATTATTTTCATTTTTACACATATATTACAAAGCCATGTATTAAAAAGCTATTTTTTTCCATTTATTCGACCGCTACATAGTTGGTCTGTAGGTGATTACAACACAATAACATGAAAAACTTCAGTACATAATTGGGAAAATATATATCGTCATCATCATAGCATTAAGCAAGTATACTGTTAAACATGAGTCATGGCCAAGGAATGCCACAAAACACGGTCCTACCAACCGGCATCCACGCACTTTCCACATATCTTACCAGACTTCACTCCATCTAGTGGAGGATCGCCCCATATTTCACTCGTCGATACGCGTCTACCTTTCGAGAACCTTTCTTCCCTATCAGTTGTCGCTTCTTCGAGATATATAGTCGATTCATTGCCATTTCAGCTCACTGCTCTGTTAGGCTATGTTGGTTACTTTGGTTCTTCTGCGGATATCTCATTTCGAATTATATCTTGCAGAGAAACTCCTAGCAAGACTTACTTAGTCGGACAATGTGTCCTAGGTAAACATTCTCGTCAACAACATCGAGCGCAGTGTTCTCAACAACTACCGGCATAGATGTGGCATGGACGTTACACGTGATTTATCTACATGTACCATGTTAAACTGAAGACCTATCCGTTGGTAGTCACTATTGAGTTGATTAATTAAGCAGTGCTTAAGTCCCCAGCGGTTTTGCTATAATGACAATTATTGAATGATACATCAGCAAACAAAGGCTTCCAATTCCCTGCAGTTGGATAGGTTTCCTAAGTCTGTTTTGTACTCGGCTAGCCATCGTATATTGTATATAGGTTTATTGATAATATACGAGAATATGATATTGACACAGGGTTAATTGTAATTTTTCTATAAAGCTCTCAGATTGTATTTTAAATCATTAAAATCAACGACTTTTGTAAACGCGGTAACAAAATCTTTTTTCTTGCCTCACTCTTTTGCACAAAGTTTGATAATAATTTGTGAAAAATATTGAAACATATACCTACTAACAAAGTAGTGCCAAAGTAAGACGTACGTGGTGGGCGAACAAAGTAAGACGTCATAAACGTTCTTATAGCCTTCATTTAGCGACCGCATATATATGAAGTGAACAAAAAGGTCACTGACACTGCATTATCTGTATCGTTTCAAGAATTTTTCACCGATACTGACTAAGGCAATGCTAATACAGATATTAATGTTGCCCATTCTAGATTATGCAGATGTTTTCTATGCTGATGCCATGCGAGAACTTCTAAACGAACTAGATGAACTTCTTAATAATTGTATACGCCACATTTTCTGTTTACGTAAATACAATAACACTTTCTCTTATCTTTCTGAGCTGTCTACCTCTCCGCTATCGCAGATAATTCAGAATACTGTGTACTTTTAATTTAACGTGATCCATTTGTCCCTGAATATCTGAAATGCAAATATCAGTATCAGGGGATTCCCATCAACGTTGTCTCGATTCACCACATATAAGGTGGTTAGAATTTTCAGGTAAGCTAATTTTTTTGTGGTGCGGTAGTTATAACCTGTTTTGGGTGTTACTAAAACTATTCATTAAATTTATGACGGATATTATTGGTTTAGGTTACCTGCACGAAGTTAATGAAAATTACAATGCATTAGAGGAGGATAACGAAGAGATCACTTTCAAAGACACTATCATCGACAGTGTCTCTGAAAGTGATCAAGTGCATTAAATTACTATATCGCAATCTAAATCAGCTGGCTACCAATTTGATTAAACCTCATCAAATGTCAGGGTCTAACATACAAACACTACCTCGAAACATTGCATAGATCGCCTTCATATAAAAGATGTCACGTATAATATACAAGATCTAAAGATAGCATGTTAAAAATGCTAAAAACATTTGTGCAATAATCACTCTAAAATATGGGTTTGCCTAAGCTTTTATTAAGGTCATCATGCGACGTTGTCAGAATCATCCGTCGGTGAAATACTGCAATTCCGCACGAGTACATCAAGATGTAGGTTAATAAAGATGCAGAAATTCCAAAACATGAATTAACATTATTTCAAAAAGTGAACAAGTATTTTTTTTCCTAGTACAAATAGCCCGATAAAGTAAGTCCAACCGAGAGGTCAATCGATGGATCTAATTCGGTTGGGCAGTGTTGGTAAGTTTACGACACATCTTCTCGTCACGTATACCTAATCCAGAACTTGAAATAAGAGTGTAAAAATGACTTGTGTTGGGCTGTAATGACGATGATATTGAAGTTGTCACAAATAACATAATCCGGATACACGGCTGTAATGATGATGAGGATTTCAAAATTATTAACCTTTAAGTATGGACGTGGAGTCTCACGGACTCCGCATAGTTTTAGTTCTCGTTGTTTCACACACTTCCCCCGTTCTCGCGATTGAGCGGCTCAGTAGCTGCAGTTTTAGTTACGAAACGACTGACGAAGAAGAAGATTGCATCTTTCCCTGCTTAATATATACGTCAATAATATACATCGAAATATTGACCGGAGCCTGTGAGGCTACACGTCCATTGTTGCCATACAATAAATTTTATGAAAGTAATTTCGTTTATTTCAAGTTTTGTAGTTCAAAATGGCAGAAAATAGTGAAGCGCATTGTTCTTATAGAAAACGACATTCCAGAAATCTTCAACAGGCTACTGCAAGCAAAATATTGAAAGTAACGGTCCCTTCTTTGGAAGAGGAAGTGAATAATTTGTAAGCTTCAGATCACTCCGATAATGAAGAAGCTATCGAAGATTTTTTGATGCCTACGTCGGCATTGATGCGTAACCATGATAGTGACGAAGATGAAGATCAGATGCAGGGCCAAGACATGACCCAGGACCAGGAAGTCACCGAAGATGAATCTGACATTGAAAGTTCAGACGATGCTCCTCTTTCGGATTTACTAAGATCTAACTATTTCTATGGGAAAATAAATAGAAAATGGGCAAAGACGCCACCTTCTCTTAGAGTACGTAAGACATAATATTATACATCTCGTGTAGGTTATTCTAAGTTGACACCTAACGATGAGAAAGACCCTGAAAGCATCTGGAATAAGATATTTGATGCGGAAATACCCAATTTCCAGCAAATTTTGAATTGGAAAAATGCTAAGATTTCTATATACAAAATGAAGTTTGCTCGTCAGGGCAGACCAGATTTGAATAACTTGGACATGGTTGAACTCAAAGCTTTTATTGGACTGCTATTTTACTCAGCTGTTTTGAAATCAAACAAGAAAACTCACGTTATTTGTTCACTTCAGATGGTACAGGTTGTGAAATATTTAGATGCGCAATGTACGAAACAAGATTTCTAATCTTGCTCTTATGTCTTCGATTCGATAATCCTGATGATCGCAATGAAAGGATAAAGACTGACAAACTGGCTGCTGAATGCTGGCTGAATTTCCAACAAGTGATTAACTCTCAATAACTATAAGAATTCAGCGAATGTGTTACTGTGGATGAAATGCTCGTCAAATTTCGGGGAGTCACATGATATCATATAAGCCGCAAAAGCCTGGTAAATATGACCTGATAATACTAGCTTTATGTGATGCCAAAAAGTATTATTTCTTTAACGGGTATGTTTATTCCAATAAAACTCTGACAGCAACGGATTAACTACAAAAGTAAAAAATTCTTGGTCCAAACTCAGTGTGTGATATGTCTCACAAAACCTATCCATGGAAGCAACCGAAACGTAACGACTGACAATTGGTTTTCATGTATACAGCTCCTAGATGAATTATCAAAACAAAAGCTAACTTATGTGGGTAACATTAAAAAAGAATAATACTAAAAATACCTACACAATTACAACCAAACACGAATCGCGAATTACAATCGACCTCATTTGGATTTACGAACAAAACATCATTGTTCCTATGTACCAAAGAAGAATAGGGCTGTAACACTCATACCTTCCAAATATCAGCGATCAGGTTGATGAAAGCACACAAAAACCTGAAATTATTTTGTTCTATAATTCCAGCATATGTTGATGAAGCGGACAAGAAATGTTCAATTTATTCTTGTAGCCGTCCAACCAGAAGATGGCCTATGATATTATTATATCGTGTCCTAGATTTGAGTGCCATAAATGCATACGTTTTGTGTAGCCTACGCCAATTAAAAGATGTTGAAATAGGAGATTTCCTTTTCACTAATTATTTATCAAATTAGTTATACTAATTCCGGAAGAATGTTGTGGTCACAGTACAAATCCACGAACGCAAAGACTTTAACGTGCTTGAAATAAAGTTAATTTTTCTTTATTTTTATTTAATGACAGAATTAGTAATAATACAAATAAAACTGCACTCTTAAAAGTCTTATTGACTTAAGTTACGGTCCATTTCAGTTTGTTTTGACTGTACAGATTTAGTGTGACTGTAATTTACGTAGTTTTAATTAGCGATGTAATGATACCGATACCGATACCGATATATCGGCCGATAAAATCGGCAGGCCGATATATCGGCATCGCCGATTTAAATACAGCCGATACACAATTTAAAAACGCGCGAAAAGAACGATGCGCTCGCGCGCGGCCCACGTTGCCACTCCCTCTCAGAGGGCGGGAGGGGCGAAGGACGCGCCCGCCAGCGAAACGGCAATGCGGTTAACGGTCGTCACTCGTCAGTGTTTGCTTAGTTTTGGCACAGCGTTGTAATGTTTTTCGGCGAATTTACGTCTCGTCGCCGCTATTCATGATTTTGTCTGTTTTTGAGTGAAGTGAGGACTGTAATACAGTTACGTACGATAAATAAAATGGCGACTCCTTTAAAACATAGAAGTAGCATCTGGAATCATTTTCAAATAAAACGGGATGATGACACAAAAGCGACTTGTTTATATTGCAATGTCAGCGTTTCTCGTGGTAGCAAAGCAGTTTCATCGAAGGGCTTCACGACATCTAACACACGTGAAGCGCTATCACGAAATGGAGTTGGAAAAAGACACCCCAGGTACCTCAAGCGCCGACGGTGGCCCGCCGCCTAAAAAACAAGCTACTTTGGAGCACATTTTGGAAAAAAGTGTCATGTATGATACCGATGACCCTAGGGCAAAAGCGATCACGCAAACAATAGCTGAACAAATGTGTGTAGACATGGAGCCGTTTGACTTAGTAAATAAACTGGGGTTTCAACGCACTATTAAGCAGTTTTGCCCGAAATACAAAATGGTTTCCCGTCCCCATATTTCGGAAAATGTAATACCAGACATGTACTGCCGTGTAAGAACCAAAATAATGGAACTTTTGCATGAACTTCCGCACATCACTATCACGACTGACTTATGGACAAGCGATGCTTCTTCGTCCGTTAACGACTTTATAAGTGTGACTGCTCACGGACTTGATAAAAATTTTGAGTTGAAGAACTACTGCCTAGAAGTATTTCCTTTTGAAGGCGAAAATCATAGCGCTGAAAACATAGCTCAAAACTTACGTCAATTATTTCAAGATTGGCACATCAGCGAACGGGTACGTGTTGTAGTGACAGATAACGCACCGAATATGGGGGCTTGCTGTAACACTAGTGGGAGTTCAACGTATCAGATGTATGGCACACTCTTTACAATTAGTGCTGAAGGATGCGTTTTTTGAAGAGAAAATAAATGCCATGATTACAAAGGCGAGATCTATTATTGGCCACTTCAGTCATTCAACGTCAGGTCGCAAAATCCTAACAGAAATGCAAAAATCTCATAACGTTCCTTGTCACGTTCTCATTCAGGATGTCGTTACTCGCTGGGATTCAACCCTTCATGCACTTAGAAGACTTTTAGAGCAACGAGTTGCAATTCAAGCTTCTTTGCCTCATGTGAAATGTAGAACTGAATTGTCTACAGAAGAATGGCTATTGATGGAACAAGTTGTTTCGACTTTGAATTATTTTGAAGAAGCTACAAAATCTATAAGCGAAGAATCTGCTTGCTTATCTGACGCTATACCTCTTATTAACAGTTTGCGAAAAGTTTTAAAACAGATCAAAAATAATCAAGAGACCGCGGACGACAGTTACAGCAGCCCAGAATATTATAATTTTGTAGAGATTTTGTTAGCTGGAATAAATGACAGATTTGATTATCTAGAGAGTGAGGAAACCTTTATTTTATCAACAACACTAGATCCGCGCTATAAATTGCGTACGTTCTTTCTACAATCCACAAGCATTGAGGCGAAAAGAATACTTATCTCCTTAATTACAAACAGGGATACACATGTTCCTGTAGAGCGTGTAGAGTCACAAAAAAAGCAAAATGAGACTTTCTTAGGTATCTGGAGTGCTTGTGACAGTTTGATTAAAGAAGCAGAAGAGGAGGAACCTTTATCAAACATGTCTAGTCATCCTGAGCAAGAAGAGGTGGAATCTTATACGAGATGTCCAAATATTCCAATGAAACAAGATCCAAAGAACTATTGGAGCAATGAAGATAAATACCCAAAATTGAAAATGCTTGCACGAAAATATTTATCTTACCCAATGAGCTCAGTTACCTCAGAACGTCTTTTTTCAACTGCAGGCCTCATACAAAATGATTTGCGCAACAGATTATCTGCTAGTAATTTGAATAAACTTTGTTTCCTAAACAAAAATCTTCCTAAAGTGAACTTTGATTATTAATATTGATTTACTTTTGATTTGATGCCTTGATAAATGTTACCCAAATAAATGTTGATATGATATTTTACCTTTTTTTTTTTTCATTATTTTTAATTTCCATTTTTGCCACACTTTACAGAATGGAGTGTCTATTTATTCCATGTAACATAAGTAAGTTTTATGCACATAAAGTACATCATTCTTTATTTACTGTTTAAATTTACTACTAAGCCATCGATATCGGTATCGCCGATTATTTTTCTCGATAATCGGTATCGGTATCGTATCGGCAAATTCATGTATCGTTACATCCCTAGTTTTAATTATTTTTGGGATAAAAAATTACCTATATTAAAAATGATAGGAATCGATTCAGTAAACGATTCTGAACAAACTACTTTCTCAAAGTGCGTTAATTATGTTACGTGTTATATAGCTCGGTCACTTATAGTGATTCATATGCAAAAAGCGTGTTATTAATACGAAATTGCCAAGAGAGCTGAGGTTTACCATGACACGAGTTTTAGGTAAACATATGGTTACAGTAGATAACCAGGATCAAATTGTAAACCCAGGGACGAGTAGAGCATGTAGAGTTTGTCCTGCAAAAAACATGGAATGACTACCTACGTTTGTATTTAGTGCAGCAAACCAGAGTGCCTGCAATTTTCCCGTCCTTTGTGAGTTGACTGCCAATTATTTCACACTATTCAACTGTTGCCAATTTTTTTATATTTTTTATCAGAAGTGGATGATGATTTGATGTGATTTAAGAAAAAAAAAAGAGTTATTTTGTTATTTTAATAGGTTAAGATGTTAAAAAAGTGCTCAATGTTAAATTTAAACAAAATCTGCAATAATGTTAGATTTTTCTATTTTTCCTGATTTTTGTATTAAAAGTAAATAAATATTTGTTTGTTTTATTAGAAGATACTATAATCTTTATAATAGTTTAATTTTGAAGCGATTTATTATTTATAAAAAAACGATTATTTTATAAATCTTATAATTTAATAGAAAATAACGAAAAATTATTTTATAAAAAAAAACGTGTGTCTGAATATTAGGAGCCTTTGAGACTCCACGTCCAGTCGTATATCTAGTAAACAAAAACATGACGTCCATACTTAACGGTGAAGCTTCAAAAAAGTCAAAGAACAAATGTTACTTCTAAAAACATTATGCTCTGAAAGCTTTTTGATATGGCCTTTATATAACTTGAAAAGGCCAGGCTAACCTAGGTTTAAAAAAAATTTAAATACTAATAATAAAATCGGGTTTTTGTTTAATTGATCAACAATCCATCGTCATGCGTCTCAATATTAAATTACTGCTTTAAGAACCTCGAGTAATCTTCTAAAATATGTCTCCTAAATGAAGATTTAGGGTTTTTGGTCGTATTTTATACAAAAATCAATTTATTCATCAAGCCCAGTATAACGACAAAAATAGTTCGTTTGTATCTAGTATTTTGATAAGGTAATATTATACAATTAAATCGAGTCGTAAATTAAATTTTTGGTATAAAACTGCTGCAGTGAGAATTTATAAATTTATTTTGTGTTCGGACCGTTAAAAATTAATTTGTGAAGATCCATATGCAGATAAAATTATTATAAAGCATTCATTACCTAGTTATTTATTATTATTATAAAGCATTCATCACCTCGTTATCTATTATTATTATAAATCATTCATTACTGACGGCTCGGTGGCGCAGTGGCTTAGCAATGAGTTGCTGCGCTGGCAGCCGCGGGTTCGAATCGCGCACGGAACAAGCATTTGTACGGCCTACAAATAATTGTTCCGGGTCTGGATGTTTGTCCTTGTGCAATTTATGTTTGTAAACTGCCTCCACGATACAGGAGAAAATCCTAGTGTAACGTTTTAGAGGGTAACGTTTTAAAAAAAATTTGATGAGCACATTAAACTGGAAGGCTTAGGGTATAACCGCACCAATCGATCTATCGTCGATTGACGCCATTGATCGACGTCAATCGACAATTAAACGGTGTGTGGCGTACTTGAATAATCAAGCATTTCGATCGACGTCGTCCAATCCATTCCTCTATCATCGCTCGATCGGTGTGGTAGAAATAATAAATTACGTCGACTAATATAGTTTACCATCGATCAACGATCTATCAATTGAGTTGGTAACACGGGTTATTCCGTTTATCCACCCTAAAAAATCCACCCTAGGGTGGATACTCGAAATACATATATTATTTTTCATCCGATTTTCTCGCTCGCCTGTGTACAGTAGAAAAATGATAGCTGCTTGTAAAATCTTTTTAATAATGATGATAATATTTTTGTGAAATACTATTTTTTCATAAGATGGGTTGACAAACGAGCACACAGTCCACCTGATGGTAAATGGTTGCTGTGACCCATAGACATCTACATCTATCCTCGATTACGAATCAAAATGCAGATGCGTTGTCACCCGTGAGGACTAAGATGGAATGCCTCGTTTCCAGTAAAAAGGGTCTCCGATTCTCTACACTCACCATACGAAACACAGCATCATTAAGCTACTATTTTACGCTGATATTCTGTGAGAGAGTGGTCCTTCCCCGGCCGAGCCGATCCATTCGTGCTACAACTATACTACTAATATGCAGCATGGCTCTACCAGCTCAAGAACGAAAATTATGTGGCTGTTTGGAATTCACAGAACTACAAATTCATTAATTAGTATCATTGCATAAAACTATTTCAAATCGAAGTTAATGACAAACATCCAAATTTAATGAAGTTTTTGGATTGCTTCTAAAAAACGCCCAGTTTTTTGCTAACACATCTGTAGTTACAAAGAAATTTAGAAAATGATTGCAAATGTACATACAATGTACATTTGCTATCATTTTCTAAATGTAATTGTACGTACAAAAAATACGATTTCTCAAGGATATACAATTACGTCTACTACATAATAAAATTAGTTTTGGTAATTTCCTGGACATATTGCAGAATTTATTAATTACTTGTTATTATTTAAAACAAGGAAGTTTAATTTGGTTTAAATGCAATACGTAATGTTTTTATGTTAGTTTTATTACAAATTAATCAATAATATGTTAAAGTATGAATATATTTTCTGTTGAACTGTACTTGTGGTGAATAGGCGGAACAACAATCAAAAAGTGAATTCCGATTATCACACCCCGTCTAGAGTGGATAAACCAACACCCGTTTTCGAGCATCCACCCTAGGATGAATTTCTTATCGTAGATAAACGGAATAACCCGGTAACACCAGGTAGATGTTACCGGTAACACAAGGTATAGATTATTTCTATAGGAATTACACAACCTTATAAGTGAAATGTATCAATTGTATATCAAGACGAGGATTTTCAAAGTAAAAGACTAAGCGCTCCCCTCTGCTGCGTGCATATTTGTACAGTACGAAATAAGCGTGCGACATTCGATGGACGCTTTCTGCATTGGCCGGGGGTATTGAGAAAGACCCTGCTTTACCGATGCGCGTGTCAGTAAGAGATAATGAAAGCAAATACAATTTGCAAATAAAAATGTAGATATTTATATAAAATAAATTTTTTGTGGTCGTGTTTTCTGAAGTAAAGTTATTTATATATGTTTGAATACTGATTCAGATAACGCACTTAACGGGAACCGCAGATTTTGTTACATGTTGCATAGTTAACGCTTAAAAAAAAATCTAATTTCGAAAAAGTTCTTTTTCCGGTAATTTAATTACAATTTTTATCTCTATTAATATATAGTATCTTAAAAATTCATACGGTTAAGAATTTAATTAAGCATTTCATGTAGGCGCATATTTTTTCCGAGCATTATACTATTTTAAGAAGCATCAATTCCTGCGCGTCAAAAGCGTGTCTAAATTACGATATTTGTCCAACCAGGTCGTAACGCCTAAACAACTGGTTCTCAGTATATTTAAAAAAAATCTTTAGAGTGTAACCTTTTTTAATGGTATTACGAAATACTACCATCTTTCTCGACAAAATTCAAGTCACTTGGAAAACATTTGCAACTAACGGAACCGCCTGAGAATTATTTTCTTCTAATATTTAACGTTTTTATTAATTTAGCTTTGTATTGTAGCAACCGCGCCAATAATTGAGTTAAAACACTATTGCCAGCAGCAGGGCCAGATACGTTGATTTAAAAAAAAAGCAGACAAAAGCCAATGTTAAGAAATATATCTAATCAGACAGGCACAATACATACATTATAAAATAAAATAAAAATTAACCAACAATTTACTTTTTTGTTGATTAGTATGTGAACGATCTAAGTTCGATCTACGCTGACACCACTGGGGACCAAGTGATAAACAAAATCCATCCAAAAACGCTTAACCTTTCACAGACTGTAGATGGAAACAGTGTATGAAGAGTAGTGTGTATAATGGGCAAATTTTCCAAGAAAGTCTTGCGAGTTGATGCATACTTGGAAAGGCGCCTCTTGCAGCAATGGACAAAAAGATACATTCTAGAAAGCGATTCAAAGTAACAATACCGTATTACGTGGTTCATTATTACGAACGTCATATTGGTAAAATTAACAAATAATGTTTCACATGCTACATTACCACACTAATACAACCAAAGAACAAAAAATAATACATTTAACTTGAACAGAAGAACTGAGAAAACGCTATGGTCCTTTTTGTCATTATAAGTGAATAAATATTATATTATATAGTCATTTTAACACAAAATATACAAATAGAAACATTTGAGTTCACGATTGTGTCGAAGGAAACGCCTAGCGTTTCTATTGGCAGTACATAATTGAAATTATTTTCATGGATATCCGGTGAAGCTTTGAATATATGGCTATATATACAAGTATATACACACACCCATCCTAAAAACAACCCTTCTTTAAGGTTACAACAATGTATCCATTATTGTTATTATAATAGAAGTATCGTTACATCCCTACATAGATGACTTTCAGGAAATAGAATGACAATTTCCCTCTTATGTTTTTACTTAAAACTTAGAATGTACTTAAAACAGGAGGCAGGTTTGTTCTGTTGCTTACTATATGACTTTTGACTTGGCTACTTTATGGATTTAAGAAATTAAACCGGCATTCAAGCATAAATTACCGAGTGTGATATTAAACGAACATTTTTTTATTTAAAGTGAATTTTACATACGTTAAGCACCATAAACAATTTTAGAAATGTTCATTATTACGTGTAATTTTTTTTGTACATTATATACCAACCATACAAGTTTCTTATATAACAGTATAAATCTAGCAACTATACATATATACATTTTATGTCAGAATCAACATAATATTGTAACAATACATCAGGGTCCTGCCCACCGTATCCGAAAAACATCCTCATTCACTGACTTATCGGTTTTACACTCAAGAAAATATATCTATACCTTAATCCTCATAAGCCCTTGTTTAAGATAAACCGTCTACAACTAGACTGTTGAATCAGTAAGGACATGCATACATGACTCCCAACGTAACCAAAATCTCACCAAGCTGTCAATTTAGAGAATTATATTTTTATTTAAATTTAATTACTATGAGGAGAATTCAACTTTATACCGAAGGTATAAGACACAAAATTTTGTATATAATGCTGGATCAATAATTCAAAATAGACCATAAAAATAAAATGTATATATATATTGGAAGGGCTGTGATTCGACATTCGCGGGTTCATTAAAACTCGTAGGGACGAGTTCTTACTTGGTGATTTTCTTGTTTCTATCATGATTTAAAGTAAGACAGCACGTTTGATACGACGTAACTTGAGAGTACATGTTTAGATCCACACAGGCTGTGTATCGGCGCGAAGGGCTGTAGGGTACCGGTGTTATGGGCGATGAAGTAAAGGCGTCTCCTCTCCACTCGCCCATCTACTTTCGCCGCGATTACGCTCGCTGCAGTTATTCGTACAGCACGCAGAAACATTTTGGCCAGCCTGAAAGTATGAACAATTATGATTTCTTCTATTTTGGCTAATATTTACATTGAACAAAACTATCTTATGGCGTCTAGTTAACCGTAACCATAGGGGAGGCTGATGACAAAGTTAAATCGAGTCGAGCTTCAGGTTTTAAATTACTTCTCCTAATTCGTACATCCGTCGGAAAAAAAATGTATCCAGACAATCATTATATAGGGACACCTCAATATGAAGGGCGCGATCGGTAACCCTTTAGTACTCAACTAGTATAAAGTAAGCCACGATATAGAATGAAAACTATTACATCAAAAGCAACACATTCACACCGACTCATTTGCCAAAATTAAGAAAGTTCTAGCTTTAACCTAGTCTGAAAACAACAAATAATAATAGTTATTTCTCCACATACTTATTTTCATTATTAGGTAATTATACTTCTTTTTATTCGTATTTATAATCTTTCTCGATGCATGTGGTGTTTACATTAAACGATTGTTAGTTAGTTAGTGTAGTTCTTAAGCCATTTTGTTAAATACAGTGTAATCAAACATTGGTAAACCTTAATAAATAAAAAATAACACTGTCATTTTTATTGTTTGCTGTCTATTTTGTCAAATAGACGTATAAGTAAAGACAAAATCTTCTTCCTGCCCTGACCCCAAGTTAGTTGAGGCCGGTATAGCATGTTTTCCTCATCCATTCTCCACTATTATACTCTTATATCCATCCACTCTTATATCCATCCACTTTCATACGTATTAAAAAAATCACTTGTAAAGACGAGTACTGGTAATGAGGCATCCCATCTTAGTCTTCAGAGTGATAGCGCATCTGCAATTTGACTGGCCATAAAATCCGCTCTGCATCCATAGGACTAGTTTAGTTTAGTTTACGACAGGCTGTTTTCCGTAACTCCACGTCTAAGCGCGTATCGTGCGTGTGGGCAGGAATAATGTGATTATTCGAGCCATGATATCTCCCCCGAAGAAGTTGAACAGTTCTTTGATCTGCATCTGCAATTTGACTGGCCATAAAATCCGCTCTGCATCCGTAGGACTAGTTTAGTTTAGTTTACGACGGGCTGTTTTCCGTAACTCCACGTCTAAGCGCGTATCGTGCGTGTGGGCAGGAATAATGTGATTATTCGAGCCATGATATCTCCCCCGAAGAAGTTGAACAGTTCTTTGATAGCTGCATCTGCAATTTGACTGGCCATAAAATCCGCTCTGCATCCGTAGGACTAGTTTAGTTTAGTTTACGACGGGCTGTTTTCCGTAACTCCACGTCTAAGCGCGTATCGTGCGTGTGGGCAGGAATAATGTGATTATTCGAGCCATGATATCTCCCCGAAGAAGTTGAACAGTTCTTTGATCTGCATCTGCAATTTGACTGGCCATAAAATCCAATCACCATCTGGAGGACTATCTAGTATATGTGTCTGTCATCAATACGTCTATTAAAAAAAGTTGGACTACCCATTTTCAGCTTAAAAATTCGTCTGGGTTGGTCATTATTTCTGTCGCGAAGTAGCATTACACACCCACTTCTGAGATCCAGTTAGAATTTATTATTTAGACTGGATTACACAAGTATTTATATTTTACATGCAGTCAAATATAATATTAGTTCTTAGGTGTTGCGTTTTTGACCACTTTTTTGACTACCGTCCACTTACCGCCACTTTAGTCCCTTCTTTAAAAAGCCGATATGTAACATTCCATCGATTTTCAGTTAATTTAACAGAATGACATTTGTGCTTCTATTAAACATTTCTTTAAGTTATTAAGAACTTGTGTATACGTTCCACGTGCTGATTAACTCAAAATAGTACTATTAACGTATTAACGTCCATCAACTGCTTATCTTACATAAATATTAACTTTAGGAAAATTTATGATCTAAATAGTTAGTAAAGATCTTTTTATATTAATACAGTATTTATGGATGCTATAAAGAAAACTAAACAGAGGTATTCTTAATTTCCTTTGTAGCGTCAATTTTAAAATATAAAATATCCGAAATCACCGACAAATTTAAAAAAATATAATCAATTCAAAAGACCGCGTTTATGTAAAATTCAGTAATGTTTGTCACTAAACGATATTTTAATATCGGACATTAGGTAAGGTGGACTGTTAGCTCGTAAAGTCGCTAAAAATACATAGCACGGAGCTTAAACTGTAAGTGAAAATTATGAAGTAAGTGATCATTTGGCAATTTGAGATACCACTATACCATTAACTTAGTTGTGGTGATAATGTCCCAAAAACTCGTAATGTGTGCTAACGTAATATTGTGAAGAATTTTATCCACAAAATATTTAGAACTATAATTTCAAACTGACAAAAATACTAATCGTACAAGTTCATATCCAAAGAAAAAAGATAATACCAAACCAAATTAGTCCATATACACTCACCAAACTTAAAGTCTCACAGCATATTAAAACATAAAATCATCGCACATGATCATAATTGCCTCCACCAATCTCAACTTAATTGTAAGTGTTTCACGATTGAATTAGTTACTTCGCATAAAGACCAATTTACACTTCGACAAGTACAGTAGCAAGTTTTGTTACATGGCAGTTGACAGTAAACGGTTAAGTGGGCAGTAGCGTTCAAACAATGTCTTCGTGGCGAGTTTAGTTAAGGACATTATTTCATAGAGTTCGTTGGAGTATGACGTTTCAAGACTACACAATTTTTCCGGTTTTCGTTTAAGATGGTTCTATTACCTCAGATAAATATCCAGTCAGAGAAGTATTAATCGTTGTTGTTAAAGAAGTTTTTAAGAATTTTCATGGGCGTAGCATCTCGAGCAGGTTTAATTTTACAATTTGAACTTCTACTATTATATAAACATTCGTGTTCTAAATACTCCTGTACGAATTTATACGTGATATCTTCTGTCCATTTTATTATTAAAACTCAATATAAAACGTATAAATATTCAATAAACAGTATCGTACAAACTTTGTGGCGAGTTTCATAAAATTACAAATGTACGTTTTGGCGCGCAAACGTTGCGTCCTGTCAACTTATGCACTGAACTAAACTCGCTCGTTTCCACGAACGGCGAGATTAGTTACGGGTGGCGGGAGACGCACGGGAGGGCAGCCTTCGCACTTAACTCGCCGAAAAATAGCTCGGCCGGCTATCCCGTTCAACTTAATCGTTAACTTGCTACTTAACTCGCTTATTGCCGTTCAAACGAGGTTCAAACTTAACTCACCATGTTCGCAAGTTAACTCGCTACTGTACTTGTCGAAGTGTAAATCGGTCTTAAATATTTAAGCTTAATAATAGATCGTAAGTTCAATTGGCACATACATATGAATCATGCATGTGATAAGCTTAGAGCATTTTTGGCAAACATGTTTATAATTAGAAAGCGATTAAACTTTCGAGTCAAAATGATTCTTTATAACGCTCTTGCTGATTCAGTCATAACTTATGGGCTAAGCAGCTACGGACGAACAGACAAATCAAACCTACAGTACATTAATAAACTACAACTTAGGATTTTAAATGCGATTGTACCTATAAAAATTAAACTTGAGGCAAAAACAAAAGAAAATTTTATATTTAAATTATGTAAGGTACTCTATATCCACGATAAAGTCCAATATCAATGGTTAAAGGAAAAATTCTTTAATTTAGGTATACAGCACACAGTTTCAAACAAAATTCAGTCCCGCAAGTAACTGAAAAAAAATTAATAACAATACCATCCAAAAATAAATATGGTGAGCGCATCAGCGCATACATAATACCTCGCCTAATAAATTGTCTGGATAATAAATTTAGAAGTGAACTTACTAAAGATAACATAAAGTATAAATTGTTTTTACCTTAACAAATAATAAAAATATTAGCTGTTATCCCCATTTTTGTAATAAATAGTATCATATAAATGTAGACGGAACGGCACACAACACAAACCTGCGTGGTTTTTCGCTGTGCCACATAGCAAATTTTAATAAATTTTTATTTGATAATAAATTTAAAAAAAAAATAACATGTCTGCGTTATCTATACCTGAGACAAATGCAAGTCGTACAAATGCAGCGTGCTGACAGACATGTCCCGCGCGTCATCCGTCGTGGCGGGGTCCAGAACTAAGCCACTGGGGTTGAAAAGGGCCGAACTAGCTCTTCCAGACAAGCCGGACGAATTCCGGGCCGCCGTTTCCGATGTACCCTCCTCCTCGTCACTGGTTTCGTCCATATCCTAATATCAAAAAAAAAATCACGCATTTGACTTAAATTGTCGCCCCTACCCGTCTAGTGTGGTTCATTTAGGTTTGGGATATACCAGATGTTTTTAGTCATTTATTGGATCAGATGCCACGTGATTTCTCGGTATTTCTCTTCGAATTTTATAAGGCTTATTTATAACAAGGATTTTAGTTGAAAATGTACCATAACTTTTTTCTACGATGCCGTTAGTTAAAAATGTTTAGAGACCAGACATATTATCAAAATCATAAAACTGTAAATTAACTGAAGTGTCATATCACATATTAAAGAAATTATGCAATGGTGTTTCAACTTTCGATTTTTTTTATCTTAATAAAACACTGGGATATTTTCTTGTATAATAGACGTAGCACATGTACACCATCCGCACCTGAAAAAATATTTATAGGCCATACAAACACTCTTGTTCTGTGTGGGTATTCAAACCTGCGGGTCCCCGCAACGCCGGAGTCAAAAGCTTAGCCACTAAGTTTCCGAGTTGTAAATTTTTTTATGTTCTCTCTTGACATACACATATTTGAAATTTGAGAGAAGCAAATATAATTTTTGCTTAAATGATTATTATCCGAAATCCAAAAACGTAAATATTCTATTAAATGGGACTGCTTGAACTCATTAAATATTCTATTAAATGGGACTGCTTGAACTCATTATATCGCGTTTAATTAAACATATTTTTAACTCCAGACGTTTAGAGTGGGTGATACTAATTATCCGACTACACGCAGCGACTTAATGCGAAAACAATTTGTGCAAAAAAATTGCGCAAACAACACGGCGCACTGCACAACGTCTACACGATAGCGTCTTTTGTACAAAGTTTTCGCAAAGAACATGTATGGCGTCCATACGCCGTCTCAACGTACATGCATGCTTGTGGGTGTAACTTAAGTTTGAGAAATTTAATTGTTAGTGCAAGCCATTTGTGTGCCGTTTTGCTAGCTTAACGTACATGCTTGCTTGTACAAATTAGAATTTGTGCAAGTAAGATTGAGCATATAGGCCTTAAGGTTTTTGATGTTCCGATGTCATAATTAACCCTAAATCTACGTAAAATTACTTTAGAGTGGAAGTGGTATCGATAACATTGGTTCCTACCAAGAATAATATGTGAGGCTATTTAAATTAAAAAAAAAACATGTACACATGCGCATCATTGACCTCTATATATGTAAGTAAGAGGTCAGTGATATACACACGTTATTTTAGCATATAAGAAAAATACAGTAAGCTCATTCTGTGTAGATTGGACTAACATTATTGATTAAAGTTTGCAGGTACTCCGGGTTAACTATAACATCGGTATGTCTAACACCTCAGCCGTCTAAGCCCTCTTGAGCTTGGGTACTGGAAAGCACTTGAAACGTCGTGAGTTGAAAATATGTTAAAATATATACGAGAAAATCCGTAGAAGTTGTTTTATTAAATGTGTAATTACGTGGGTCGGTATAAAAATCATTAAGAGACTGTTATGTTTTTTTATTTCTCAGAAACTGCTAAACAGATTTTAATGTTTCTTCTTTTATTAAATAGGTTACACTTCACTACTGGTGCCATATATTCTTTACGACTGTTAGAATAAATATTAGATGATAGATTTATCCCCAAAGTAAGGTAAATCATAAAATTTATTTTTAACCGTTTGTTATAAAATAACATTATTTTTTACACTATACCCTGCACGTTATTTCAATTTAAGTGTAAAACATCCATATAAAGAAACTTACAGGTAGTCGATAAGGATTCCTCTGTTGTTGGTAATAAGACAACACTGCAGGCAATGGTGCGTTTGTTCCAAATATACTTTGCTGAATGTATGAACCAAGCATAGTTTTATTCTGAAACAAGTATGCAGTTGTTATGATAAAAATAAAACAATATGGAAGACGGATATATGAATGGGGAGAGAGGGGACGTTTTGGGTGAAGAGACACAAGAATTAAGTCGTATAAAGTAGCATTGTAATATTTAAAGTGAATAAGTTTTTTTTTCCATAAAGAATAAATATAAAGTAATTACTTTGAAGAGCAATCCGCAAACTTCGAATAGCATAAACCCCACTTATAAACCTTAAAATACATATTCAATATTTTTGCAAGTACCAAAAATCTCGAAATTACACACAAAGAAGCATTAAAAGATACGCCTCAATATTATTTTTTTCATGAAAAAATCTTATAAACTTATAACACATAACAGGCAGAAGTAAGCATTTACTAATAAAATAATTTTTAAACAGCATAATTATGGGGGACATTTTTGTGGCATTCCTTAAACAATTCCATTTTCAGCGTGCCTAGTGGAGTTTTATACGCGTTCGATAGCGTTAAAGTTAACTACGATTTGTATGGAATAAAAACTGCGCAACTGCTGACAGTAATCTGAAACATAATTCCAGAGTGCGAATTTATTAAGTGGTTGATATCGACCATCAAACATTGACTAGCATTCGATAGTGAGAACGTTAACGCTAATTTCAAGTATTTTGCAAGTGCAAACGGCAATTTTATTCGATCGAGACGTAACGTAAATAAATATTACTCTGTCGCTATCCAAAAAGTTTTCACATAGATTTTTACAGTGAGAAAGTAGATTGAGAACAATTGCAGATTGATTAATTTTATTTGTTTTTGTGTGAATGATATTATGGCAGGATGTTTTGTTTTCGCATAGTGAATGCAAGAGCTCGTGCATCTTCAACTCTTTGTTACATCTCACGTAGAGACAATTTAAAGATAGATATCACTTTTCTAAGAAAGTATTCAAATTTTCGTGTAAAGAGATAGGCGTTAAACAATTCTAAGGTGCTCGCAACGCGTTTCCTTGGAACATAAATTATGTATTGATCATTAGTTTTTAACTTTTAGCACCTCAAGTTTAAACACAAGTTCAAGTTTAAATAGTATAAGATTGTTATATTTTTAATTGCAGCTGCTCACTGCTCTATTATTTTTTGCTGGATTACCAAAAGCCAGTTGGAGTAACAAAGTACATGTTACAAAAATATGCAATATGTACATCGAAGAAGTTACCCAGGCGCTTACACACAAAAATATAATAAATAAATATATTCGGTTTCCATCGGTATAAATGACAAGATATGGCCGTGCGAACAAAAACCGTTCACGGTTTAATAATAAAATATATCAGCTCCATCTCGTAATTACTCATGAACTACCCTGGAACCAGTGTTTTCACTTATGATTTTGGTTTTACCCTAGAACCTGTAAAATACTCCCTAAATTATCGTTAAAAAATAAAAATAAAAAACCTTATTTTTTGCGCCTAATTTTCAATATTTTTAAGAAAAACATCATTGCAAGATTTGAATATCACTCACTACACAAAAATCTTGAGTTTTTTGATGCAGATGTTCTCATTTTTAAATTATAATAAAACTTAATCTCATATGTATAACGAATATATAATCAAGTAAAATATTATACTATTATTCCGATATACATAATTTAAAAAAAATTCATTCTAGACTTTTCTATCTCTTTTGACCATATCTCCTTCGATAAATCTTTAAAAAAATTACATTCGGTGGGAATAAAAAACAGGGCTACCTGAAGTTCAGTTTTATCCCATATTATTTAAAACCCAGTAACTTGAAGAAATGCCTAAAGCCCTACCTATATTAGTAGATTTACCCTAAAATAATGCAAAATATTTAAAAGTGGAAACACTGCACGGACGCACGGAACACATTGGTGCTCCATAAACATTTTCGAACCAAGAAACCGGGCCATTTTGTTTGTTCAATGACCCGGTCCATACGCAGTAGCATAATAAGTCTATGTCGGTTTCCAAATATGCCTACAACCAACGCGTCAGTTGTATGTTGAAAATGTTTTATCTGATGAACGGTATGGCAACACATAAAATACGAACAAACAAACATTAACTTTTAAATATTATAAATTAGAATACATAAAATTAATTGACTTTTATTTCACCTCCAAATGACGTCAAAAATTAAGCATTCTGAATAAAGTGAGTTCTTATTCTAGTGATTTAAAACTTGTTTGTCTTGCTTGTTAAGTAGGTCAAATGGAAATGTCTTGGTTTGTTGATAAAATAAGATTATATTTTTGCTTTATTTTTATTTAATGGATTCAAAGTAACCCTTGCGTCGGTGTCTCTCTAAAGTTATCATCCAGTTCGTGTACGTTTACTCCGCCAATTTATAAAAAGTAAAAAGCCTTTATTTACGCTAACCATACAAAAATTTAATTTAATTTTAAATATACCATATATCTTGTCGGCGACAAGCATACAATCAACCAGTGACGAATTTTGTTTTAAGATTATTTCAATTACTTAATTAGTGTAGTGTCAAAATTCAACAAGTGACGAACTTTATTTTAAGACTATTATAATTTCTCAATTAGTATGATTAGCATATTAACTCTTATTAGAATATAATTTAAATATAATTACAAAATTGAAAGCTTAGCCTTTAATGATAATTTTGTAAGGAAGTTTTTTAAGCAAGAATTTGTTTTGTAAATACTTATAAAAAATTTAAGTTTTGTTTAACGCTTAAAAACTGGTGTTAGATTAAAGGTTTATACGTAACATAATGTAAACAAAAAGAAATAAGTAGATTAGACATCTGTTTTAATAAATATAAGACAAAATGTATAGTAAATTAGCAATTTTGTAGGGTTTTTGTTCTATAAGTTTTGTATAGAGGACTTAATAGTTTTATATTATTATTTTATGTTATAGAACATAACTAGAGCAATCTAACAATATATAATTTGTAAGGGTTTTTTGAAAATTTTCAATAAATAAAGGCTCCTAAGAGTTCGGCTCGAAGTAAAAATAACGCGCGAGATAGGGAAAACCGCGCTAACGCCCGTACGGTAACGCCGGCGGATATATAAGCCGAGCAAATTTCGGCTCAAATCGCAGTCGCAGCACAGCCGTCGAAGAGGCTACAACAATAAGGAAAAAGGAAGCCGAAACCTAAGGAACAAGAAGCTACCTAGAAGAAAAGTGTTTTAATTGCCTCCTCCCGGCTGATCGTCTATCTCTCTCTCTCTCGGGGTCCTAGTAGGGTCATATCATACATACGCATTCAGGGGTGCGTGGGACGTGCGTCACCAGCACTAGGCAAGAAACGTACGTCATAAAAAAAAGGCCAAAACGGGCCCCCCCCAAAAAAAAAAAAAAAAAGATACCGGTTACCAGGTCACAGAAGGATGCCCCCTCACGTCCCGGGTCCCGTCCCTCAGATAAGGACGCGACAGGTGAAATGTCAGGATCAGAAGGGGTCACGTCTGCGTCAGCATCATCAGGAACAGCAACTACGTCAGATTCTTCAGGCACTACGACCACAGAGGATACCACAACGACAGAGACCACGAAAGTTGCCAACTGCCACCACGGCGGCATCCAAGGATGAAACCACACAGAAGGAGACGGCCAAGAAGACTCCAGAGGATAATCCAGACAAGGGCGTTCATGGCTCTGCCACAACCCTTAAGCCAAAGGGGGTCAGTCGTCGCACCAGGTCTACGAAGACCACGAGCTCCTCAGCCAGGAGACGGGAGCTGGAAGCCAGAGAAGAATTAGCACGCATGGAGCTAAAGCAAGCTCAAGCTGCGGCGAAGCTAGCACGCATCAGATTAGAGCTGGCACAATGTGAAGATGAGGACTCCGTGGATGAAGACCAGGAAGACAGAACAGCACAGGTGCAGAACTGGATCGAGACATCAGTAATGGAAGAAAACAACATGGGAAAACACGAGCAACGAGGTCAGCACCCTCCAGAAGAGCCAAATGTGAAGCCTGAAGAGAACTCCTCAACGAAAAAAGATACGAGCGAAATTCAAGCGCTGACGATAGCACTGAAGGAAGCCCTTACCACACGAGGAGGACCAGTAGCTCAGCCGAAGTATATCCACGAGCTACCCTACTTCGACGGCAACAGCAGCGAGTGGTTGGCCTTCAAGGTGGTCTACGAAGATATCGCCCCGATGTTCAACGCAGTTCAAAACATGGCTCAACTAAGAAGAGCACTAAAGGGCAACGCAAGAGAAGCCATCAAGAGCCTGCTGTACTCCGAAGCCTCACCACTGGAAGTAATGCAGGCCCTCAAGAGACGATATGGAAGACCTGATGCATTGGTGCTGGCTGAATTGGATAAAGTCAGGGCATTACAGATGATTTTGGAAAAATCCAAAAGATATATGCGCAGCCAAATCAACAACAGCGTAGCAGCAATAAGGGGTTTGAAGAAACCACAGTACCTGCATACACCTGAAATGGTAAAGCAAATAATAGAAAAAATGCCAATAATCCTGAAGTTCCGATGGTATGACTTTACGGCAGCAACAGAAGAGGGCGAGTTCTCCGACCTGACGATGGTCTCGAAGTTCCTGAACAGCGAAGCAGACAAATGTGGAGCCTTCGCAACCTCAGAAGAGAAGAGCGGGTTCAGAAGAACTCATCGACAAGCGACGCATTCTACGAGGGAAAAGGACTTTAAAGAAAAAGATACAAGACAGTCAACAGAAAAGACTTGTCCTATGTGCCAAGGTGGACACTTTCTCGTCGACTGCCAGAAGTTCCAGAAGACGTCAGTACAAGATCGATGGGCAACAGTAAAGAAAAGGCACGTTTGCTTCAAATGTCTTCAAGGAAAACATCGAAAGGAGAGCTGCAAGAAACCACCATGTAAGGAATGCAAGAGGTGGCATCATCATTTGCTGCACGTCGAATCAGAAAATAGGACCTCGGGAGAGAAGAAGGCGGAAACACAAGAAGAAGTAGCAAGCGTCATGACATCAGTGAATGCAGTCAACAACGCAAGGGCATACCTGAAGATAGTTCCAGTAGAAGTCTTCGGGCCAAAAGGATCCAAAAGAATATTGGCCCTCATGGATGAAGGGTCGACAGTGTCACTTATTGACACAAAGGTGGCAGAAGAAGTCGGCGCTAAAGGCAACAAAGAGGAGCTGGTTATCGAGACAGTAGGAGGCAGACAAATCAAGAAGAAGGATTCTCAGACGCTGGACCTTGTAGTGAAAGGGGTTCATCAAGGAAGCAAGAAGACCTTGAGGAGAGTCCGAACTATCAACGAGCTGAAGCTTGCACCACAGTTCCTAGAGAAGAAAAGGATAGAAGAATGCCAACATTTGAAGAAGATCGCCGACTCTCTTTATTATAAAGGGGAATCACCACAGCTGCTCATCGGTCAAGACAACTGGGAGCTGATAGTGACACAAGAAGTAAGGAAAGGGAAACCAGGAGAACCAGTTGCTTCAAGAACAGGGCTTGGATGGGTGCTTCACGGATCAGACACCGGGGCTGTAAGAGTAGTACACTTCATGAACACGTGTCTACATGTCAGCACACCAGATGAGGAGATGCATCAAGCCATCAAGGACCACTTTGCAATCGAGGCGCTTGGTGTGCAGCCACGAAGACCCACCACAGACTCAGAAGGAAGAGCACTCGCCATCCTAGAGAAGACCTGCAGAAGACTTGAAGATGGACGATTCGAAGCTGGACTCTTATGGAAAAATGAAGATGAACAGATGCCTGAGAGCTACTCATCTGCAAAGAACCGGTTGTTCAATATTGAAAAGAAGATGGATAAGGATCAAGCAGATCCAGCGTCTTATCGACAGCAAGTATGCAGAAGAAGCACCTATGACACAAAAGGATTCCAAGAAGAAATGGCACCTCCCTCACTTCTCCGTAGTACATCCACTGAAGAAAAAGATAAGGATCGTCTTCGTCAAGTCAAAGGGAAGAAGCCTCAACGATGCTCTACTGCCAGGACCAGATCTACTACAGTCGCTCTTCGGGATAGTACTAAGGTTTCGACAGGGCCCGCTAGCTGTGGCAGCCGATATCAGAGAAATGTTTCTTCAAGTTCGCATTCGACCAGAAGACAGAGATAGCCTGAGGTTTTTGTGGCGCGGGGCTCGTCGCGACGTGCCTCCAAAAGAGTACAGGATGACATCGGTTATCTTCGGCGCAACATCATCTCCGAGCACCGCAATCTATGTGAAGAATCGAAACGCAGCGGACTACAAAGAGCAGTATCCAGAGGCAGCAAGGGCGGTCGAGCTAAATCATTACATGGACCATTACCTGCACAGCTTCCACTCGGAAGAAGACTTTAGAAAAGTGACGACGCAGGTGGACTTCATACACAAGAAGGCAGGCTTCGAACTCAGGGGATGGGCGTCAAATCAACCCGAACTGCTGCAAGACGTGAAGATCGACTCCATCGAGAAGACAGAAGTGGACCTAGGCGAGAAGGAAGAGAAGACATTAGGTCTGCGCTGGTTCACCAGAAAGGACTCCATCGGCTTCAGGGCAAACCTCCGAAATACACCAGAAGAAATAGCAAGAGGACTCAAGGTGCCTACGAAGAGGGAAGTTACCAGCGCAGTAATGTCGACCTTTGACCCGCTTGGTTTAGCATCATCAGTTCTCATCCAAGGCAAGAAGCTGCTTCAGAACGTATGGCGAAGTGGCGTCGGTTGGGATGACGAAATAAAAGAAGGCGAGTACGAAGCATGGATAACCTACCTGGAGAAGACGGAGCTGCTCCAAGACCTGCAAGTTCCGAGATGCCTGGCGCCACATTGGACCGAGGGGGAGCTACACACTTTCGTTGCAGCGAGCTGGCGTACGCACAGACAAGGCAACCTACCACCACAGTGGCAGCAAAGGCGAGAGTCACTCCATTGAAGCCAGTGTCCATCCCGAGACTCGAACTACAGGCAGCCCTCCTAGGAAGCAGACTGGCTCATTCAGCTGAAGAAGAATTGGACCTAAAAGTAACAAAGAAAACATTTTGGACAGACTCCAGCATCGTACTTTCCTGGATAAAAACAGACCCGAGAACCTTCAAGACGTTCGTAGCTCATCGCTTAGCGGAGATAAAGGACCTCACCAAACCGCAAGACTGGAGATGGGTGCCTACAGCGCAGAATCCTGCAGATGACGCAACACGCGACGTGCCAGAAGACTTCAACTGCACTCACCGATGGTTCACCGGACCAAGCTTCCTGAGAAAAGAAGAAGCACATTGGCCGGCACCAAGAACTTTCAAGAAAACAACCACCGGCGAAGAAAGGGCAGCGGACGTCGCAGCAACAACACAAACATCTCATCCATCACCAGACCCGGAGAGATTCTCTTCATGGAAGAGGCTTTGGCGAGCCACAGCGAGAGTACTGCAGTTCTTACAACTCTGCAGAAAAGGGGAGAAGGTCAACGTCTGCAAAAATGATCCCACCTGGAAAATGACAAAAAGAAAAGGAACGAAGACTGTAGAGAAGCAACACAGATCTTCAAAAATAACAGAAAAGAAATATATACCGATGGACACCGAACTACTCGAGAAAGCTGAAACTCTTTTGCTGAAAAGAAGCCAAGACAACAGTTTCAGAGAAGACATCAAGCGCCTTCAGCAAGGGAAGCAATTAGAGGGCAGCAGTAAATTGAAAAGGCTCGACGTAGTACTAGAAGAGGGTCTCCTGCGGCTAAAGGGAAGAGTCGACGCGATACAGGGTGTGACCAGGGACTACAAACGACCCATCGTGCTCGACAGCAAGGACAAGACAACACAACTCATCATAGAAGAATTCCACCGCCGCTTCAATCATGGAAATCACGCGACAGTGATGAATGAAATGCGACAACGCATCTGGATACTCGGTCTAAGGTCAGCAATCAAGGCGGTCCAGCATCAATGTCAATGGTGCAAAACGAGAAAAGCAAGACCCCAAGAAATACCAACAGGCAACTTACCGCCGGAAAGGCTGATGCACGGATATCATCCTTTTACGTGCACGGGCGTGGATTACTTCGGACCGATGACAAGCACCGTGGCAAGACGGCACGAAAAGAGATGGGGGGCTCTATTTACATGCCTCACAACAAGGGCTGTGCACATTGAGCTAACTCCTTCGCTCTCCACCGACAGCATGATCATGGCGCTGCGACGATTCGCCGCAAGAACAGGGATGCCTAAGAAAATCTACAGCGACAACGGGACTAACTTCGTCGGCGCCAACAAAGAAATAAAAGAAGCACTCGACACCTTGCAGCAAGAAGACCTCACCTCAGAAGCAGAGAAGATCGGCGTGCAATGGAAATTCATCCCTCCAGGTGCGCCAAATATGGGTGGCGCATGGGAACGTTTGGTGCGATCAGTCAAAACCGCACTAGACGCCACACTTCACGAACGGTATCCACGAGAGGAGGTACTCCACACTCACCTCCTAGAGGCCGAGCACATAGTCAATTCTCGACCTCTCACACACCTCTCTGAGAACCCTGAAGAAGAAGCACTAACACCGAACCACTTCCTCATCGGGCGGTCCTGCGGCGCAGCGAGAATCGGCAGCTTCAACGACAACGAACTCGTGGGCAGATCCACATGGAAGGCCACGCAGCGGCTTGTTGATCACTTCTGGCAACGTTGGCTGCGAGAATATCTACCCACTTTCTTGCCAAGGAAGATGAAGGCAAGAACCAGCACCACAGACCTGCAAGTTGCGGACATCGCGCTGATCGTCGACCACAGCCTACCAAGGTGCACCTGGCCACGCGGAAGAATCTCCTAAGTGTATCCTGGACCTGATGGGCGAACAAGGATCGTCGACGTCGAGACGCGCGGAGGTGTGCTTAGAAGGCCCAGTTCGAGAGTAGTGCTGCTGGTGCCGGGAGTATCGCCGAGCCAGGAGGATGGTGCGACGCACGAGGGGGAGAATGTCGGCGACAAGCATACAATCAACAAGTGACGAATTTTGTTTTAAGACTATTTCAATTCCTTAATTAGTGTAGTGCGTCAATCAACCAGTGACCACTTTTTTAAACAAAAAACCCACAACAAGTGACGAACTTTATTTTAAGACTATTATAATTTCTCAATTAGTGTGATTAGCATATTAACTCTTATTAGAATATAATTTAAATATAATTACAAAATTGAAAGGTTAGCCTTTTTGTAAGGAAGTTTTTAAGGCAAGAATTTGTATTGTAAATACTTATAAAAAATTTAAGTTTTGTTTAACGCTTAAAAACTGGTGTTAGATTAAAGGTTTATACGTAACATAATGTAAACAAAAAGAAATAAGTAGATTAGACATCTGTTTTAATAAATATAAGACAAAATGTATAGTAAATTAGCAATTTTGTAGGGTTTTTGTTATATAAGTTTTGTATAGAGGACTTAATAGTTTTATATTATTATTTTATGTTATAGAACATAACTAGAGCAATCTAACAATATATAATTTGTAAGGGTTTTTTGAAAATTTTCAATAAATAAAGGCTCCTAAGGTTTCGGCTCGAAGTAAAAACAACGCGCGAGATAGGGAAAACCGCGCTAACGCCCGTACGGTAACGCCGGCGGGTATATAAGCCGAGCAAATTTCGGCTCAAATCGCAGTCAGTCTCATTCCGATCAGGTACCTCGCCGCGTTCGGTCGCCTGCGACCCAACAGTGAAGTGCAGTAATTCGGTCGAGCCCATGCGCTCCCAGTGCGTTATTCAAGAAAGAAGACAAAGACATTTTTACCTGCGTGCGCGAGTGCTTCAGTGTCGTTGTGCTCTTTTACGACCGCTAGGTACATCGGGCCGCCGGCCCATTGTTCTTTTGTGTGTAGTGCTAGTTTAGTGCCCCACGTTCTCCGGAGCAGCCTCAGAGGCAGCAATTCTATTTTTAAATTTCTGTGTTCGCTTATCGCATTAGGCGACAGCTAGGTACACACCCTAGCGTACCAACGCGCTAGTTGTATAAGTGTTCGTTTAGGCACACACCTCCCCCGCCGAAAGGTGGGGGGGCTTGATACACAAGTGTTCTAAACCACTGACAAGATGGCGGCTATTACTATAGCCGAACTCGCCGACTTCTTCGGACAAGTGTGCCCCGACGCTTGGGCTAAATTCCTAGCCCAACGTAACTCGTCCACCGCTGAACGCCCCGTTGTTCGTATCGACGATCCTATTTCACCGAGCACCGGTCGCTCGACCCCTGTGTCTATCGACACAGTCTACGACGCCGCGTCCCCCGCGCCTTCTGCGCTCTCCACCCGCGGTCCATCACCGTTGTTTTCGGACGCCGAATCAGGCTCCGAGATGGATATAGAGATTCGCCGACCTGATAAACCCGATGACGAAGGCTTCACCTTAGTCTCGGGTAAAAAGCGCAAGCGCCCCGCCGCGAAAAAGGGAGACGAACCTCACTCGGCCCCTACGTCGCCTACCGCCACTCCGACAAAAAAAGCCGCGCCTTCCGCGCGCAAAACGACCGCGAGCAAAACCGCGAACCCGACTCAGGCCGTACCTAGGAAGGAGAAACCGCCGCCACCTATAATCTTACAGGACAAATCGCGCTGGAGCAACCTATCCAAGTGGATAGACTCCAAAAAAATATTCTGCCCCAAAGTCCACAATGGACCACAAGGCATCCGCATCCACGTCGCAACGACGGACGATTTCCGCGCTTTAACTGCGCATTTAAAAGCTCAAAACCTGAGCTTTCACACATACTCTCTCGCGGAGGACCGTAACCTCCGTGTTGTAGTTCGCGGACTCCCTAAGGAGCTAGAAACCGATTTCATACTAAGCGATCTTAAATCGCAAAACCTGCCAGTCAGAGAAGTGCACAGGATGCACCACCCAACTGATAAGAAACGCTATCTCGATCTTTGACTTGTCATACTGGACCTGTCTCCAGAGGGCAAACAGATATACAATATCACTAGGATATGCAATCTCACGGGGATTGTTGTAGAGTCCCCGCGTAATAGGGGCATCGTTGGCCAATGCGACCGATGCCAATTATACGGCCACTCGGCCAGGAACTGTTTCGCCAGGCCTAGGTGCGTCAAGTGCCTAGGCGATCATGGCACTACTGAGTGCCCCCGAACGCCCGAAACGGAGGGCCCTCCAAGCTGTGTTCTGTGTGGCGAAGAGGGACACCCAGCGAGCTATCGCGGGTGTTCCAAAGCGCCGCGTAGGAAGCAGAACGGAGGAGCAATACGGCGCGGACGTGCGGGCAACCCCAGTAGGTCGCACCCACGGCATTCTGCCCCATCGGTCGCACCAATCTCGGTGCCGCAACCCGCGCCCGCTCAGGCTACAGCCAAGCCCGCCCCCGTTAAAGGGACTCCAGGCAAGGCCCAAGCCTTCCGGTGCCTTCAGCACCTAAGCCCAACGCATGGGTTAAACCCCCCGGCGATAGTCAGCGCTGCCGCCTCACGGCCAGTGCCTCCTCACCAGGCCCAGAAGCCCAAACCCGCCCCTCAGGCACCGTCAAACATCGACACTGACCTTTCGTTAGTGTTCAACTTCGCCAGCAGCTTTAATGTGGCCGAAGTCACAACCCTAGCCCGCAAACTTCGCGAAGCTAAATCAATTCAGGATAGGCTCAATGCTACCATTGAGCATCTTAGTCTTATCCAAGCGATAGGTTCGTTCCAGTGCGCCTAAGCGACTCTTTTCTTTTATAACTAAAATGGAAATAAGACCTGTAGGTAGAACTAAGCCTAGGTCTCTGACTGTCGCGTACTTTAATGCAAACGGTGTCAGAGATCAAAAGGAAGAGATCATATATTTTTTACGCAACCATGATATCGACATCATGCTAGTGCAAGAAACCTTCTTGAAACCTAGTTTGAGCGATCCCAAAATAGCGAATTATACCATAGTAAGAAATGATAGGCTGACCGGACCTAAAGGCGGCACCTTGATCTATGTACTACAAAAGGTCCTTGCAATGTGTACCGATAGATACTCCGCCGCTTACTAACTTAAAAGCGTCGGTCTGTAGGATAGCACTCACGGGCCATCCGCCATTAATAATTGCATCAGTATACCTGTCTCCCGTAAAAAGCATATTAGATTCCGACATATCGGCTCTATTAAACCTAGGCCCTAGCGTATTAATCGCAGGAGACCTAAATAGTAAACACGTTAGCTGGAATTCTAACGTTAACAATTCTAACGGAATAATTCTAAGAGACCTCACGGAGAGACTTAACTTCGATGTTATCGCTCCCGAGAGTCCAACACGTTTTCCTTTTTCAAACAACCAACATCCGGACGTCCTTGATATAGCATTGCTAAAAGACATCCGACTTAGTATTAATTCGATAGAGACTATTATCGAGCTAGTCTCAGACCACAGGCCGGTCGTTTTACAACTGGGCCGGCCGGCAGGTGAGGTCCCTCAGACCAAAACTATTGTCGACTGGCGTAAACTTGAGGTCAAACTTAAGTCTACGAACTCCCAGCATTTGGAGACTATACCCGACAAAATAGACTCGCTGGAGGAGGCCGATAGGGCGATTAGCGCCCTTTCGACTCACCTCTCATCAGCGGTCGAAGATTGCTCCCGTAAGGTTCGTGTATCGAGCGATAAATACACGAAACTTCCGGCGGATGTTCGACGGCTGATTAGAGCGAAGAATTCCGCGCTTAAAACTTACGACCGCTACCGCACGGAAACCAACAAACTTCGGGTACGTTCTCTACAAAACGAGATTAAACAACGAGTAGCCGAGTTCAGAAACGATAACTGGGATAACCTCTTAGAAGGTATCGAACCATCCCAAGACGCCTTCTGGAAACTAACGAGAGCTCTTAAAGCCGACAAATCCGCACCAATGCCGCCTCTCTTGAGGCTGGACCGCCCCGATCTCGCCCTTGACGATCTCGAAAAAGCCGAATGCCTAGCAGACAGTCTAGAGTACCAGTGCACGCCATCCACTGCACCAATAGATCCCGCTCACCTATTAGAGGTAGAAACGGAAGTAGAACGTATGTCTGCGCTGCCACCAGCGGGTGAACCACTCGATCCTGTGACGGTAGACGAAGTCACCGAAACCATAAAAAGTCTTAAAAATAGATCAGCCCCTGGGCCAGACGGCATCAGCAACAAGGTGATCAAATCCCTTTCGGCGCCACTTATTTGCCTCCTTGTTGGAATATTTAACACCTTTCTCACGAACTGCTCCTTCCCGGACATCTGGAAAGAAGCAGACGTAATAGGGATCCCAAAACCGGGTAAACCGCGTAATTGTCCCTCTAGCTACAGACCCACTGTGTATCTATCTCCTATACTGTATCTCCACTCCTTTTCACACTCTTCACGAGTGATATCCCAAAACACCCCGTAGTGAACACCGCTCTCTTTGCCTACGATACGGCACTCTTTGTGTCAGACCCCAACAAAAATAGACTCGCTATAAAGCTCCAAAAAGCGACCAATCGCCTTGGTGAATGGTTCCGCCTATGGAGAATTGACGTGAATCCCGAAAAAAGTGTAGCAGTATACTTTCAACGGAATTCTACAGGAGGTTCTAAGCCCAAAACAATCTCTTTATACGACCGCCCAATCCCTTGGGAAAAATCGGCCAAATATCTAGGCGTCACTTTCGACTCCCGCATGAGTTTCAAGACGCACATAAGTGTAGTACGCAACAGAGCCAAGTCAATAATTGGCCGTCTACACCCCCTCGTTAACAGTAAGAGTAAACTGTCGCTAAGACACAAACTCCGGCTGTACAAAACCTGCATTAGACCAGTTATGTCCTATGCAAGTGTAGCTTTCGCCCATACATATAAGACCCATATTTTAAAACTCCAAGGAGTACAAAACTTTTTCATCCGAGAAGCCACCGGTGCACGGTGGTATCAACAGAACTCTGATTTACACAATGATTGTGAACTACCATCTATCTCCGAATATTTTAAGAGATGTCCCAACGCTACTTTGATAGAGTAGAATCCCACCCTAACCCGCTAGTGACAAACGCAGCCAACTACGTTCCGATAACAAACGTCGCGCCCTATCTCCGTAGACCGCGAAATGTTTTAATAGAACCACCTCTACCGCTCGATCCAGTCGACCCAAACGTCGCAGGCACATCACACAACGACACTACACCAACACTAAATGGTACAAACACAATTAGGACAACGAATGGGACGCGTCGCACCCGCAGACAGGCACGACGCGTTCCAGCTCACACCGCGTACACACCGTACACCCGCGTTCTTGGGCGGTTCTCACCGCCCAGACCATCGACCGACACGAGCTGAGCAGTCAGAGACGGGGGTCCGCACACACCCCCTCGGACTGCGGTTAGATAGCTCAAAGAAAAACGCCTAAAAGGCGACATGATGATTGGTTACAATATCAAATCATAAACCATCTCATCATCATTTTCACCTCATTGCCTTTCCCTTTTTAATTAGCCCTGGGACAAGATGAAGCTGTAAGAGTCGCATAGACTAACAGCACTAACATCAAGATAATAGAGCTCAAATCGCAGTCGCAGCACAGCCGTCGAAGAGGCTACAACAGTAAGGAAAAAGGAAGCCGAAACCGAAGGAACAAGAAGCTACCTAGAAGAAAGGTGTTTTAATTGCCTCCTCCCGGCAGATCGTCTATCTCTCTCTCTCTCGGGGTCCTAGTAGGGTCGTATCGTACATACGCATTCAGGGGTGCGTGGGACGTGCGTCACCAGCACTAGGCAAGGAACGTACGTCATAAAGTGGGAGATTGTCCCAGGGCGACTGCGGGCACTGGACGTGTCTCTGCCGTCCGAAACATATCTAGACTAAGTACATATTATATAGGCTAAGTAATTGAATTCCTCGTCAAATCATAACATAATAAACCTAAAATAATATTATGTGGTTTTACTGGACCAGCGCAATTAACTCTTAAATAGTATATAAATGCCCAACAAGAAACGCATGTTTGGTACTATTTTACGTCTTTAACCGTTAAAAGTCCGACGTCTCCATATGGAGACGTCAATGTCTCCTTGTTAGACCGCGCCAAACAGTATACTAATATTTAGAGGGTCGCCTTAGAACCATAGAGTATATGATCACTAAGTTTACTCGAAACCATAGATAAGATTATAAATAACATTTAAAAATAATTATATTATTATATAGTTCACATATAAACTTAAAAACTTGGTAATATTAAGTTGCTGATAGACACGCTCTACTTAAAAAATTATATGCGTGTTATGATATTCAGTGGAATCTCTATAACTCAAACCTCGTTAAGTTGAAACCCTCAGTAAGTCGAAAAAAAAATGCCATTCCCTTCCGCTGAACCCCTAAATACGCGGTATCTCGAATTATTAGACTTTGTAACTCGAAGAAAATATTACTTCCCTACGAAATATTGATAATAGATATTTATACTCTATAACTCGAATTTCAAAAAAGGAGACTCCGTAAGTCGTAGTTGGTAACAACAATAATGACGTCTTCCTTGGAATTCCCCGAAATAATAGCAATAAAATCCGGGTTCTTAATCGTAAAGTAGCTGCCGCGTCACCTGCCGAGCGTCGGCCGAGCTCGTCGGGAGACGCGGGCAGCTATGCGTGACATGAAACGTCCTATAACTCAAAAAGTATGGATGTTAAAAAAAAAGTTTCAAACAAAAGTTTTGGAAAATAAACTGATCTTTCAAAATACATTTATGCATTTTATTGATTAATCTGATATTTCAAGAGTTATTGGCCGCGATAGAAAAACCGGTTCATTAAATGGGCCATAAATCGTAAACGGTAAGTTTTACAAAAAAGTTTGCTGGAAACAAAAGATGCGAAATTTTATTTTCTACAATAATGGTATGTATAACTTTTGCCTGACAGTGCATAGTTACCGAGATATCGGCTGAAAACGTTTTTTCCGCTTGAAGCGCCACCTGGATCTGTCGGAATTTTGTGATTTTATACTGAATAAGTGATCCTAAACCTCATAAAAAAATAAAATTGAATCAGAAATTTCGTGCAATGTTAAATTATATTTTTACTGTACTATTTCATTAAACATTTTATTTGTCAACAACGTCTTACAATCGTTTCTCTAGCGCTCAAGTGACCTTCATACAAATAATTCGATATTTTAATATCGAATTATACTACATTTTATCATATTAAAAAAAAGTTAACAAAAGTTTATTCAATTTTCTCCTATACCATGGAGAGGTTTCACATACACAAATCGCACATGTATAAACATCTAGAAACAGAACAATTCGTCGCTTACGCCCCAAATGGCTAACCTCCAGTTTTAAAAATTACAGGAGAACAGGGAAATATTTATTTTTCTTCGATTACTAGCTTTTTTTCATCAGAAAATTAAAAATATTAGATTTAATGGAAAACCACAAATACGATTAATTTTCTGATCTGAATCGAGGAATAATAAATGTTTTTATGCTCTCCTGTAATTTTTTTAAAAATTGAGGTTCGCTCCTTTGCGGCGTTAGCGACGTATTACTTGTAGGCCATACAAACAATTGTGCCATGGAGGATTCGAACTCGCGGAACCGCAGTGATATAATCAAATCTGCTTCTAAATACTACACTGCGCTATTCGTTAGTTGTAAATTTCGTATATGAACAATGTGTTTATCTTTTTACATTGTATAAAATAATTTTCATTAATATATGTATATTTAACACTCACCAAAGCGTTATTGGTTGGTATGGCGTGATGCATACTTTGGCGGAGCGACCGTAAGAATTGTCTTTGCGTTGGTTCTGTTGGTTGCCAGCCAGGATGACGGCATGAAAACGCAACCAAAGACAACTCGGTCTTACCGCCTTCTCCTTGATTGTACTGAGTGTTGCTACCTGCAATTTATAAAATAAACCAGGGTGATAAACGAACATATTGTGCATGTGATAGTAAGTGGATGCTGTGGCCTATAGACATCTACATCTGTTTTCGATTAAGAATCAAAATATCGATCCATTGCCACACCTGAGGATTAAGATAGAATATTAATAAATGAAAGGATAAATCTACTCTCACCATACGAAACAGCATCTTTAAGCCGATAGTTTACGATGGTACTTTGTGAAAGCGTTGTCTTTCCCGGTGGAGCCAACGCATTCCAAATCACAAAACAATCCTTGCACGTTAGCCACGCGGCAGGTGAATTATCTTAAAAGACAATATTATTTCTATGCACGAATTACTGTAATATTAATTTAAAAAAAGTAAAATTGAAACTAAAAGACAATAAAATAACGTTATGGCATAATATTTCTTTTGTGTGTGAAACATATTTTGTGCTTACCCGTGGGTTTGTCGCCGTATTTACCAGCCGTCTGCCAATCGGGATGGCCGTGGCGTCGGATATCAAGCTGAACAGAAACGAATAACATTTTTTATAGGATAAGGGTGACAAACGTTCACACAGTCCACCTGATGGTAAGTGGATGCTGTGGCCCATAGACATCTACATTTAACCTCGCTTAAGAATCAAAATGCAGATGCTTTGTCACCCTTGAGGACTGAGATAGAATGCCTCGATTCCAGAAAAACGGGTCTTTTAATGAATGGAACGGGACATTTAATGATTCCTTACATTTGCGCTGTTACTACACATTAAATGAAAATAATTTCACTGATTTTATTGCGTTTAATTTGAACTTTTATAAAATCGTTTTGTTTCATTTAACGAGATGAAATTTTTATGGAAATTTTGCAAGAAATTAAAGCGTGGTAGTACCTCTGTCTATCGCGTGGCGTAGTGATCACAGTATTTGTTAACCGAGTCGTAGAGTAGAGTTGAGAGAGAGTAGAGTAGAGAGTAGAGTCGTAGTTCTTTTTATATGAAATAAGGGTGACAGACAAGCACGCAGTCCACCTGATGGTAAGTGGGTGCTATAGCCCATAGACATCTATATCTACATCTATCTTCGATTAAGAATCACAATGCAACCCTGTGAACTAAGATGGAATGCCTCGTTTCCAGTAAAAAGAGTCTCCCGTTCTCTACGCTCATCATACGAAACAAAGCAGCATTGAGCTGCTATTTGACTCCTCCACGGTGAGCGGACCGATTTAGGCAACCTAACAGAACCTATAGATGCAGGGTAGCTCTACGATGTTAGTTTTTATAATTTTAGGATAAAAATTCTAAGTGATCACCTGATGTATGAGAAAAACATAATTTATAATATAACTGTTAATATTGTTTCCCTGAACTCGAGAATTTCACAACAGACTCTCAAAGTCTACTGACGAACGTAAACTGTTCCTAAAATACGCATTCTCGAAGACTTATCCACACTCACCACGCTAGACGAAATTCATGCAACCGTAATGCTGCCTCTGATCGCCTGTGTTGGTGATCAGGTAAATTTCGAAGCAATATTTTAAATGATTTACTCTCCAGTAGTTCATTAGTAACTAACTGTACTATAGGCTCGTCCATCAATGCAAGGGTGGTGATACTTCACTTTAAAATACTGTAATTCAATTAAAGCCTATTTTGACACAATTTGAAGCCACTCTATGTGAAGTAAGTAATGTAATAGAGATTAGTCATTTTTATTTAATTATATTTTTATTTATAACTGTGAAATGTTTTAAAAAAATCATTTCACAATTGCTCAATATAATTTGATAATTGACATATAAAGGTGCTCCGTCCCCTGGAGCGTTCACCTGTAATGTAACATCATGATTCGATTTTCAGCATTACTTTACAATACTGCCCCTCTGACTGACGAGCATTCGCCTGTAGTGTAAAATTAGATTGCTTTTTAAAGCTATTTAGCTAGCTTTAAAAAATCAGCCTATAAACAATCCGCGGCTAAACATAGTCACTCTTCAATGGAAGAGTTGGATAAGGAAATTTCTTACGCCAGAATTTTAAAGCCCATCAACTTTTTTTACCTGGGCAAACGAACAGACGTCTCCAATTCCAAGAACGCTGACGGTGAAATTTCGGTAAAAGTCCACGATGTCAAGGGCACGATATCGAAGTGACAGCAACACAAGTGGACACAGAAGGGGGCTCATCAACTCGAACAGTATATAGACCTGTGAAATATGATAACAAATACAATATTTATATTCTAGTATACATACTAAAATTTCTTCCAAGTTTAATTAAAGAACCTAACAGATTCCTATACAATTCCTGTGAATTCAGGTTTGTCACATACTACGAAATTTAAGTTTCACGTCGCGCGTCGTGTCTGGTTTTGGATGTAGAAATAATTCAAACGCAAGAATAAAACAAATTTTACAAATGTATAATAATTCATCAAATGAAATTTAAATTGAACTGTAGTACTTATTATGTAAACATGTGCGTAATAGAGAAATAGCTAACTCGAACTTACATTAATACTTAATTCCCTGATTATTAGTCGCTACGCATATGTGCACAAGTTTGAATACTTAACAGTGAATATGTCAACAAGAATAGAATAATGATAAGCATAAAAACGGGAAAAACAGTTCTTACATATCTATCATTAGCATTCAGAATTACTCTTATTAACCAAATAAAAAGTAAAATTGTGTGATAAGAAATAAATGCGGTATGCAAGATGATGTTGTGACCAGGATTAAGAAAGAAATGCTTTGGTGGTTTGGTCATGTAGAAACAATGAATGAGGAAAGAGTGACAAAGCAAATTTATATGGCAGATGCGAACGGCAGAATCGGGAAGGGACGGCCTAGAAGAAAGTTTATCGACCAAATCGGCGATATTTTGAAAATGGGCCACATTAGCAGTACCCTTAACCGACAAGCATATATGCGTAGATATACGTAAAGGAGGCGAAAGAGGTATGTCAGGATCGTGCCAAATGGAAGTCCGTAGTCTCTGCCTACCCCTCTGGGTGACAGGCGTGAGTGTTTATGTTATGTTGTTTGTATGTGTGTGGTGTGTAAGTGTGTAATATATATTTAAAAAATACGTTCAAATAGTTTTTCTGTCTGCTCGTAGTCTATTGATTTAAGCCATTTAGTTAAGGAATTTTTTGTCTCTCTCTTATTTAACGCATATATATTTAATAATTTGTTAGCTAGATTACCTATATAGGACTGGACTTCTGTAATTGAAACATCTTCGAGCAAATAATAAAATAGTAACCGGTACAGTGCATATATGATGCGGAAGTCTTTTACTTAATATAGGATTGGATTTATTATATTGGTTTTTTAGTGATTTAATAATACGAGTATTGTCGCAAGAATATAGAGCTGACGTACGATGAGCAAGTCACGTAATTTGTAGAGTTCGTTTGTTGAAAATAATCTACGTTTTTTATATTTTAAGAATAAGTCTTTGTGCACGTTCTAACCTAATGATATGGGTTCCTTCTACATCCCCCCCCCCCCAAGACGTTATGCTATAGTTAATAATAGACTGACATAAGGCGATATAAACAAATTTTATGACACTGGCATCAGCACGATAACGAAGCTGCTTAAAAATATGTTAGTTTACGGACTCGTATGAAATGTGGTTTATATGCTCTTCGAAGGAGAGTCTCTGATCTATTATAACACCTAAGTATTCTGTGTTTGTTGCCTTTTCAAGAGAGTGACATGTACAGGAGCTAAGAGGTGGTACATAGCAATCATGAACATATAAGTTTAAGTTCTCTTGGCCTTTTAATGCTGGTGTGCTGATACAAAAGGGAATGTATTTAGTTTTAGTTGCGTTTCAAGATAGAAAATGTGTATATAGCCATTGCTGTACTGTATTTAGGCCAGTTTGTGCAACAGAATAAACTTCCTTCCAAGATTGACCGTAAAATATAAGTGCGGTGTCATCAGCATAGCACATAACCTTGCAATTAAGAATATTAATTTGACAGAGGTTATTAATATAGCACAAAAAGAGGGTAGGGCCCAGAACACTGCCTTGAGGAATTCCACGTGTAATACTGCAATCGTCACTCAAAATATCGTGAACTTTGGTGTATCTTAGCATACAGTTTTCCCATAATGTTAAGAAGGCTGATACCACGGCAGTTTTTACAGTCCTGCTGCGACCCCTTTCCTTTATATACTGGGACTGTCACGGCTTTGCACCAGTCTTCCGGTACACGCTTTAGTTCCCAGCATAAATTAAACAATTAATAATAAATGAAGAAGAAACCTACATGTCTGAGAAATAAGAAAAAAAATATATTTCGAAGACATGTGAAGTTCGCCAACACGCATCGGGGCGGCGCGGCGGAAACTTCCTTGTCCTAAAACCCTCTCAGAAATGAGGGGAAGCCTGTGCCCAGCAGTGGGACGTATATAGGCTGTTACTTTACTTTACTATCTCGCTACTCTTCTTTCGAAGCATTCATTTCATTTAATTCACACGTTTCCATACTCTTAAACTCGCTTTCAAAATGTTCCTTCCATCTCTTTAAACTCAAAATTTCATTATTCAGAATACAGCCATTCTCGTCTCGTATAGCATTTAATATAGGCTGTTTTGACATTTTCTTACGAGTTTCCAAAACATTTTAATATTAGCCTAGAAGTTATCCGATATTCTTCTATCATTCTTATCAGATCTTTCTTGCTTTATCCTTTCAACTACTTCTTTTACTTTCTTATTTAGACGTCTAAAGACTGTCTTTTTTCTTTCAATATTGTCATTCGTACCGCCAGAATATCCAGCCTTGATTGCTAGCAAATCGAGCCATAATCTCTTCTTTGCTTCAACTTCTATTTGTAACTCATCATCATCATCATCATTACAGCCCTTCACAACTCCACTGCTGAAGATAGGCCTCCCCCAAGTAATGCCACAAAGCACGATCCTGAGCCACCTGCATTCATCGACTTCCTGCATGTCTTACCAGGTCGTCACTCTATCCCTACACTACGCCTACCGGTACGAGGCTGCCACTCGAGAACCTTAGACGCCGGCCCATTGCCACTTCAGCTTACTAATCCGTTGGGCTATGTCGGTCACTCTGGTTTTACTGCGGATATCCTCATTTCTGAGTCTATCACGCAGAGAATAGAAAAAAGGCAGTCTTTAGACGTCTAAATCATCCCACCATAATGTATTATTATTCCTTTCATTATTCCTCTTACTAACACCACATACTTCGGTAGCTGCATCCACGTCTCCAAGTCTAACTCATTCATACAGAAATCATCCAAACCACTTATATTTTCTTACAGTCTACATTTATAGTTATTTTTCACACCTGCATCTTGTAACCTATCTGTTCTAAAACGCTGTAATGCAAGTGGTAGGCACAGGTGTCCGATGCCGCCAACGTCTGAAAAGACCATTAATTCGGCATCGAACCAAGTAATGATCGGTCCCTACGTTGGATCCCCGGTAAACCCTTGTATCTACCACTGCGCTCACTATTTTTTCATTCACAATTATGAAATCTATCAATCTTCTATCATCACCTCTTTCTAATGTATATATGTGATTCTTTTTATGACGAAAGAAAGTGTTTGTAACAAAAAAATTCTTTTCCATACATACGGTGAGGAGGCTTTCACCATTCTCATTTATACTTTCATTACCAAGCCTCTTCACCCCAACCCTTCCATTAAAATAACTAATGGTAAGGATGGTGTTAATGAAATGTAAGGGAAATGAAAACATAACAATATTTTCAATTCCCTTACACTTCATTAACACCATCCTTACCATCTCTCAAAACTGCTCTCGGATATAAGTGGGCTTAGACATGTCTGGGGCGTAGACCCCTAGAACAAACAAGTTCCTTAAGCCGACTTTCATTCGTATTCATAGCCATCTCGGGCATGTTTGATTTGTTGATTAATTTCATATTTTTAAATATTTTGTAATTGATGATAGCTTTGATTATTATTATTTTTTTATTTTCTATTTATTTTTAGTAATTAATAGTATGTCCATTTTAGACAGTAGTGCATAATAATATATTGTTTTAAGAGTGTGCACTCGCTGACTAACTGATTGCAGTTTGGCGAGAGAATTGTAATAATAATGAACTTATCTTTGTATGAATAAATAAATAAATGAAAAAATACATTCATTACTCAAAATCGGGATCAGGTCTTTATCACTCCACCGTACTTATCGCCATCAGCATGTCGCAAGTCGGTGCGATCTCCGATTACGGTTCGCATGTGGTAAAAATTATTGTCTTTCTATAAAAAATATTTGTCGAGAAAGAAAGATAAACTTAAACTTCTGTACCTAAATCGACAAAATAAAATACTAGTTTTATCTAATTATGACAAAGTTCTAGAATTTGTGATGCTGTGACACATATGGAGTAAAGCAGAACAAAATTATATTGCTGACTTTAACTAAAAAAAGCAAGTGCTAAGACATATTGTTTAGAAGAATAAAAGGCCACAACACAATAGCAAGGCCGATTAATGCATGTAAGTGAATGACAAAGAAACCATTATAACCTACCGCCCGGAATTGGAAAAGTTGTTGAAAGTGAGCAGCGACGTCCTTTGTATGAGCCCGGCCACGCCAAGCCGCGGGTAGATAATGCACATGACCCAGTACTTGCACGAACAACTCCTCACCGCGCGCCGGTCCCGTACAACCACCACCCAAACGCTCTTCTTCGCCAATCAAAGCTCTGAAAATAATAAAAATATATTAATATTAATTTCAGAGAGATTTTAGTGTACCATAATTACACTACTTAATTTTTTTTAATAATTTAAATTAGCGTTTTTCTACAATCCCACCTGATGGTAAGTGGCGATGTAACCTAAGATGGTAAAGTGCACTGACTTAACAGAAGCCTATCCACTCTTGCCTTAAAGACATCCACAGAGTAATCAGATGGAAAGACGTGCTGGCAACTTACTCCACTTCTTTGCTGTACGTATGACCTACGGTGTAGCAAATCGTTTAGTTTGAATGCAGTAAGCCAACAAAGAAAGAATAGAGACCAGGAGAGAGGGAGGAATTAAGTTACGGAATTGATGCGCACACTCCGAAATCCATCCTGTAGAAAACCGAAAGTCTGGCTACTTTGCGCCTGTATTCGACGCTGGTAAGATTGGTTTAAACAATTTCGGTTCACCAATAAGCCTCTTAGCACGCCTTTTCATTAAATCCAACATTGCTAGGCGGAATTTTGCAGCACAATCCCATATATTGCTGCAATTATTCCTTCACGATTGAACTTACGCTTTATATAGAGTAAGCAGCGGTCTCAGTGTGTACCGTCACACCTTTGCAAGGACTCTTCGCTTCCCTGCAGCTGATTTGGCCTTGGAATCAACGAAATACACGAAGTTTACGTTTGAGGATATCTCAACACTCAACAACTGTAGGCGATCGGTGTATTCCAGTGATACATTTCGGAACGCAGGAGTCAAGGTGAGCTGGCTACTTTTAGCAGTGAAAGGACGCTTGTGTTTTGGAGGCGCTGAATTCTACAAGATTGGCAAGAGTTTACTTAAAATTAATATAGTAAATTTAAAATATTTATACGCTGAAGCCGTTACAACTAAATTATGGTAACCCCATAGTCAATAAAATCATGCATTAATTAGCGATAACAACATTGGTGAAATAATTGTTTTCAAAGATCTACAAATATCATTACAGATACAGATTATATAGATATGTATATATATATATAAAAATTACGTGTCACGTTGTTTGTCTGATAGACTCCTAAAGTACTTGACCGATTTTAATCAAATTTGCACACCGTGTGCAGTTTGGTCCAACTTGAGAGATAGGATAATTTTTTTTGCCCATGAGGGCACAATTTTTTTACGAATTTCAGGATTTTTAATAGGACCTGACAAAGGGTCGTCGAAAAGGGCAGAACAACGTCTGCCTGGCAAGCTAGTATATATATATATATATATATATATAACACGGTAATTAAAGTTAAAATAATATTTTATTTTTCTACATAGTCTCCTAACAAATCAATACATTTAGTCCATCTTTTTTCTAAACCCAGGATTCCCTTTGAAAAAAATTCTTTGTCTTGACCCTCCCAAAACGCTTCAACAGCGGCCATTACTTCGCTATCGTCTTCGAATTTCTTGCCTCGGAGGCGTTCCTTGAGCCGGGGAAAGAGGTAGAAGTCACTAGGAGCTAGATCTGGCGAATAGGGAGGGTGTTCGAGCAGTTCGAATCCCGTTTCGTGAATGGCAGCCATCGCAACTGCGGCTTTGTGAGCCGGTGCGTTGTCTTGGTGAAACTCGCAGTTTGCCGCGTCTTTTTTCCTTAATGGCCTCCCGTAATCTTCTTATTTGGTCTGCGTAGTAAGAGCCCGTAATAGTGGCTCCCTTTTCCAAATATTCCACTATAATTATGCCTTGAGCGTCCCAAAAAACAGATGCCATAACCTTTCCCGCCGAACTTGAAACTTTGAATTTCTTTGGCGTCGGTGAGGAGACTCGCTTCCAAGTCATCGATTGTTGTTTCGTTTCAGGATCAAAATGGTGGATCCAGGTCTCGTCCATAGTCATAAAACGGAACAAAAAAATTTCTTGATCTGCTTGTAACTTTTCGAGATTGACCCTCGAAATGTCAACTCGATTTTTCTTTTGCTCGTCGGTTAACATTCTGGGTAGCCAACGCTCAGAGACCTTTTTCATATACAACTCGTTCGCAAGGATTCTTTGAACGCTGCCATGTGAGATCCCTGTGACCTCAGCTACATGCCTGATGGTTACTATTCGATCTGCCAACACAACATCTTCGACTTTTCACGTTGTCTTCAGTGAGGGACGTGGATGGGCGTCCTTCGCGATGTTCATCTTCAGTGGATGTTCTGCCCAGTTTAAACTCCTTGTCCCAGCGTGCAACTGTAGAATATGGAGGAGCAGATCCCCAATGTTTCCACTAAGTCACTGTGTATGTCTTTTGAAGACATTTTTTAAACAGAGGTACTTGATGACAGCTCTAATTTCGTTTTTTTCCATGTTGATGTTATCTCTTTGACAGTTCGTATTCAAATGAATGTATCTCCCGGAAATCATGATCTATTTATATGATTTTTTTAGGCTGACGTAGTGAGTATATAAGCAAGCAAAAAATATTTTTTTTGGATTTTTATGCGGACCTGAAGTAACCTATTATCATTACTTTTGGATCACCCCTCGTATACGGTTCACCTGATGTTAAGTGACTACCGCCGCTCATGACTAACTGCAACACCAGGGGAATTGTAGGTGCGTTGCCGGCCTTTTAGAAAGGAGTAAGCACTTTTCTTGAAGGTCCCTACGTCGTATCGATCCGGAAAAATCGCAGGTGATAAACTATTCTACAGAGAGGTCGTACGTGGAAGAAAACTCCTAGTCAAACGTAGAGTGGTGGACCGCCAAGCATCCCGATGGTGTTGATGGTATCGAGATGTTCGCGACCCGCGCCCTGCCATTAGGCTACTGTCGCCTAAGATTGATAAAATAAAAAGTTCCATACCCTGAAGTACCACATCAGCGACAAAATCAGCAACAACGTTGGGATTGTCCGGCGACATGCAAACCCGCCCCCAATGGTAGGATGCAAAATAAAACCGCATCCTATCCCAATCGGGCGACCTATAGTGCCAAACACGTTCTTTCTTTGTACCCTTGATAGGAGAGATATGAAGTATCAGTCGGAGAGGACACCCAATTCTCGGTTAAAAAGAGCAAGGCCGGCTTCGCAATCTCCAGATGGAACTGGACAGGGTTAAGATTGGAGTGAAGTACCCTGATGTTGCAAAAATTCATGGATAGCGTGACAGGGGTCACCTTGGTCGTAGTGTTCCGCTTGCCCCGGCAGTTTTACTGAGAACCCACATTCAGGAACAATTAAGAGGATAGCTTGGTCGTGAATGCTCAGCGAGGGATTCTCCGTCACCAGGAGTGCTGGTAGCCTCCTGGGATAGTTTTATATTTGGTGCCGCTACCATGTTACCTTATTAACATGGAAGAGGAGGGGCAAGGGGAATTGGGCTTCCGGGCACCTGCATTTACCAAGCGAAACGCAGAAGTAAACCTCTACTTCACGCTGGTATTCTGTGAAGTCGTGGTACCACCCCAATTCGAGCCGGCTCATCCGCACAACAACAAATGCTGCCGCGTGGCTCCACCACGGTTAAAATGCTTGCTCATTTTAGTTATTCACCACACGTTTAGTTTAGTTAACACGCTTGGCATGCGGGTTAGCAATCACAGTTTTTATGACTGTTATTGTTTGTCGCCAACGACACCCACGAGACCATAGAATACATACACAATAGAATGGCTGCCAACCTTATTTTCTACGACGATAGGCGTCGCCAGGAGCACACATACAAGCAATAACGTCGTATTAACACTACTAAAAACCCGATTCGCTGTGTTGACAGACAGATTTTAATTCATATAATTTATTTGTAAATAGCGTGCAATTTGGCATTTTCTAAATAATATGCATGCGAAATTTGGAAACAATTGTAACGTCAAAACACATATCGTGTTGACATTTATACGAGTGAATTGACGTGTTAGTAACATTTTAGTGGCTACACGGGCTCCGCCCACTCCCCCGTTCTATTATGTATGTACGAGTATTATAGTATTCTATGCACGAGACGATATAGTGTAGTGGACATTCTTACACCACCGCTATATGACATTAATAAAAACGTGATGAATTTTGGATTTATCAATACGATCCAGAAACTGAAGGGACATTCAACGGTATGGCTCTTACAGAATGGACTAACAACTACATCGATAAATGGTAATTTCATGGTGGGCAACACTCAGAAACAGGCCCGTGACATGATTAAGTATTAACTTACGAAGTAGACCCGCCTCGGCTTTCCGAATTTATAACAGGTGATGCATTTTCGATTAATTAATATGATCTAGAAACAATACACTGGACGATGGTTTGGTTTTACTATATTAAATGAAATACAAAACTAAAAACAAACATATCTTACAATTGTTCATAATCATTGTAAGTGCTGTAATTTTCCAAACACATGATAGGATGATAAAAAAGCAAAAGAAAAAACCAAAATCACTTCTGTTATTCGGCTATTATAGCTTCTATGTACTGAATAGGGTGTGAATTTTAGAGACAAAATTATCATTTAGAATATGACGCATCAATCATTTTTATTCGCGAAATGGCATGGTCGTCCATTCGAAGCACCAACGCTCACATGGGCGGATTCCTAATCTGTTCTAATAATAAAAAACATGCATGATAAGCAAAAATCAGCTTAACGCTATAATTGGACCCAGGAGCAGCAGTCAAACCATCTCATTAACGAAAGTCCTGAGTGGTCTCAGATAGATGGAGCTATATCCTATATAACAATGCGTTGTATTTACGCAGTAACAGCTCTTTCTTCATTATCAAATATCTAACTAACCGTTTTAACTAATCTAAAAATTACCTGTTATTAATATCCAGCAAGAGACAAACAAAAATAATTTTGTATCATGTAACATGATTTGTTGTACCCTGATTTGAATAGATCTTATCTACTCGTCTACGTTTGCTATAGGACCATTTATTGATTGACTATTTATTTATTAATTTGCTAGTCAATCCAGTCCAATTATCGTCATTCTAATTATGCATGTGTATCATGTTTGCCAAAGTAAACATGCTGAAATCATTCCAAATAATGAAGCACATGTTACCTGGCACCAGCCAAGACGCATCCAAGGATGGTGATGATGGTAAGTACGTGCTCTACAGTAAGCACATCCTCGTCGTACACGGACAGTACCACAAGCACACCAAGTACACTCGCTGATAAAAACACTATATTCCTGAAAATATTTTCCTTATTTAATTTAAGACTAACAGAAGCTTATACATAAAGCAAAATATTTAGATTATATTTATATATAAAACTTCGTTCAGAAATCATCAACATCGCATGGATAAAGAATGTAAATATAACATCACAACATTTATAATTGGCATTAAAGTAATGCATAAACCAGATGCTCATCAAAATTTGTACTCCAGCCAAGAGTACGATAATCCTCAATTCAATTCAGACGAAATATTATCTAACAATTCAACAAAATTAAACACAAAGCACATAGTATATAATATCTTTTCAAGTTTTATTATTCATAGCCTTTCAATACCCTCAACATATTTTAGATAATGCTTAAAAACACTATCATATATGGGTATATTTATTATTCAAAATCATACTCTTATTTATAACCACAATCACATTACATTACATTTAAATAAATAAATAAAGTTAGGTCTCTTTTTTATTCTAGACACTTATATGTTTTTCTTGTTAATTTTAAAACTTAACAACAAAACAAATTGCAGAATACCGCAAAGAAATAACTCTATCATATGTAATAGAGCCACACTGCAACAATATTATAGTTAACACGAATGGGTCAGTTCGACGGGGGTAGGATCCCGCTTTCACAGAATACCAGCGTAAAATAGCAGCTTAATTCGTATGTATATGTGATGTGGATACCCTTTTTACTGAAAACGAGGCATTCCATCTTAGTCCTCAGTGGTACAACAAGTATGAAGGATAACAACACATCTATATTTTGATTCTTAATCGAGATTAAATGTTTATGTCTGTAGATCACAGCATCCATTTACGATCAGGTGAATTGTGTGCTCGTTTCTCACACTTATATCTTTTATTATCTTTTTATACGTGGTAGAGCCATGCTGCAGTGATATTAGTAGTATAGTTGTAGCACGAACAGGTCGGCTCGACTGGGGACGGACCACGCTCTCGAAGAATTCCAGCGTAAAATAGTAGCTTAATGCTGCTGTGTTTTGTATGGTGAGCGTAGAGTACCGAAGACCCTTTTTACTGGAAACGAGACATTAAATCTTAGTCCTCACGGATGACAACGCATCTACATTTTCATTCGTAATCGAGGATAGATGTGGATGTCTATGGGCCACAGCATCCAGTTACCATCAGGTAGACTGTGTGCTCGTATGTTACCCTCCTATAGAGTTAAGAAAAAAATGAATATCACTGATTTACAAGTGCTTGCAGACCATTGCCGTGACCACGGACATCTGAAACCAATAACTTAACTTACCAATATAAATAAAAGAGTTTACACTGACTCTCTGCACCCTTTATTTCAGAGCAGTTTTTGTGTAAACTGCAGTAGCAGAAATTGTTAAAGCAGGCACCACATCTGCTCCAGTGGACTAGTAGGAGGATAAGAAAATCCTGCCATCAAGTAAAATCACATTCCCGGCTTAAATAAAAAACTAGTGCCATAGATAACATACTTAGCTATCACAGTAGTGATGGGCGAGGAGAAGCTGGCTAGATATTTCGTGGCTGGTTTGTGGGCACGGTTTAGTCGATCACGTAACTCGTGCTCAAGTTCGTTGAAATGCCGTAATGTGACACGTGCGTACAACGACCATGTCCGTAGCCCCAGTGATGCAGGCGAACGCTTTATTAACTGTCACAATCCGATATGTTAATTTTAATCCGTTTAGATTGCTATACTTTATATGCTTATAAATAGATTCTCAAAAACAGCTTTATAAGCCCTAAAACAATAATTATTACTTCATCGATTGAAGATTAAAACCTCGCTGATATCTAACATTAAAATTATAATTATTCAGTATGATCATTCTTTTTAACCGACTTCAAAAAAGGAGGGGTTCTTATTTCGAGTGTATGAATATGTTTTTTTTTTGTATGTATGTTATGCGATATCTTCGTAGATTGTGAACCGATATCTTTTTTTAAATAGGCTTTACCTCACGGGTGGTCCCATTAAATTTTGAGGAAAAACTTTCGCCCCCAAGGGTGGGAATAGAGGGAAAAGTGTTATATTCTTTTCTCTTTTTTATATTCATCTTCATGGATGGGCCCATATAAATTTGGAGAAAAATTTCACCCCTAAGGGTTGCAAATAAATAACCTCTTTTTTAGCAATTTGAAGTCGGTTTTTACTTTTGTTAAAAGTTATAACTATCCTATGTATCGCAAGCAAGAAAACAAAGGAAATGGAAGGAAAAAGAGAGGCAATAGTTAATTCCTTACTTGTACTGATGATTTTAAAGATCAAATAAATATACTTAGCATTATAAGATAAATACAACAATTCTAAAGCCGAGAAATAAACATCACAACTTTTTATACCAATCAAAACATATTAAACACGAAACATAATTAACGCACTTTGAGAAAGTAGTTTGTTCAGAATCGTTTACTAAATCGATTCCTATCATTTTTAATATAGGTAATTTTTTATCCCAAAAATAATTAAAACTACGTAAATTACAGTCACACTAAATCTGTTCAGTCAAAACAAACTGAAATAGATCGCAACTTAAGGCAATAAGACTTTTAAGAGTGCAGTTTTATTTGTATTATTACTAATTCTGTCATTCAATAAAAATAAAGAAAAATGAACTTTATTTCAAGCTTTCAAGCACGTTAAAGTCTTTCCGTTCGTGGATTTGTACTGTGACCACAACATTCTTCCGGAATTAGTATAACTAATTTCATAAATAATCAGTGCATAAAAATGTTTAACTAAAAATTCAGTGTATGTATTATGATTACAACATAATATACTAATTGGGGTGTCTGAGGGTGTGCGTTAATTATGTTACAAAAAAATATATATATATATATATATATATATATATATATATATATATATATATATAAATTACGTGTCACGTTGTTAGTCCGCGATGGACTCCTAAACTACCTAACCGATTTTAATAAAATTTGCACACCGTGTTCAGTTTGGTTTAATTTGAGAGATAGGATAGATTTTTTGCCGATGAGTTACCCATATTTTTTTGCTAATTTAAGGATTTTTAATAGGACATGACATATGGCAGAACAACGTCTGCCTTGCAAGCTAGTATATATATAAGTGGATATAGCTTGTTATCAACTTTGAGCTTCATTGTGAAAAACTATGCTACATTTTCTAGACCATCCATATTTCTTAATCAATCACATTACTTAAAAATTTATAAAACAAAGTTATAAATTATTGTTTAATATGGTATGTACTGCAGTCTATAGACACCAACAGCCAACTTTAAACAAAGAAGTGTATATAGACTTTGTTCATCATGGATGCATTGTCACTTTTGAAGACTAAGATGGGACGACCCACAAACTGTAATTGTACTGGCTCTTTATATTCTTCAGAGGAACACAGCAGTAAAAGCACCGACACGTAAATTTTTTTAGACCCAATTGGAACTTAGTTTTCGAACGAATATGAGGTATCCATTTATTATTTTAGAATTTCATTAAAAATATTCTACATACATTTAAGAAAATAATCGACTAAACTTATGTAAATACATTGAAGTTATATGTACTTACGTACTAGAATAGCTATTTCAAACAAAAAATGTGCGCTACTCTGTGTTCGCGCGGTTGGTTTTTTTTATCATAGAATAAACATAGGTAGAATGATCCGTAGGTAATAGTAGATTCATCATCATCATCATTACAATCCTTCACAAGCCCACTGCTGAACATAGGCCTCCCCCAAGGTATGCCACAAAGCACGGTCCTGAGCCACCTGCATCCATCGACTTCCTGCATGTCTTACCAGGTCGTCACTCCATCTAGTGGGGGGTCGCTCTACACTAAGCCTACCGGTATGAGGCTGCCACTCGAGAACCTTTCTTCCCCATCGGTTATCGGTTCTTCGAGCTATATGGCCGGTCCATTGCCACAGGACCATGATTTGTGGTATTACTTGGGGGAGGCCTATGTTCAGCAGTGGACTTGTGAAGGGCTGTAATGATGATGATGATGATGATATATATATATGTGTGGCACAAAAAAATGCGTATGATAATATATTCGTCCTATACTTAAGTACCACAGAGAAATGTCGCATCTGAACATATTAATTTCATAATCTATATTCCATGACACGACATGGCGTCTTAGGAATAATTTGTTTTATTATTAATCTATAATACTTTTTTATTGATTAAGTATCTTATTAACCGATGAAAAGTAATTTCGTTGGTGGTTTTTACTGACATTTTTTGAGTTATTTGTGCAATTTCTAAGTACACACGACGGCATATTTTTATCTGACAACTCTACAAGCGCCTATTGAGTGACTAACTAAAGTGCGGTGTATGCACCGCAGTTGAGTGGAACAGAGTAGCTGAATGCAGTGTCGCCTCTAGTACGTAGTACATAATAGCTCAATGTGTAAATATTATTAATTTTACACTGCGTTTTTCACAATTTGGAGACAAATGAGGTAAGACAGACAGCATGATATAAATACAATTGCCATTGTATGGGATATTCGACATGTCTGCGAATTCATATTGAAGCAGCAGACAAACTTTTTAATTATATTATAACATTGTGAGTACACTGAGTAAAAATTATCGTTTATTGGAATGTCATAAATTAAGTTTTTAAAAACCTCAATTTATAAAATGGACTGTCAAACATAATAAGAAGAAAATAAGATTTATTTAATGTGCAATATATTGATAATACACATAATTCACATACAATTCTATTTTATACTTTGTGTAGCTATAACAGTGGTAATGCTTATGTAATAATGTGTAAAAATATAAAATATGTAATGGCATGGTATCTAATCTTATTAAAGACTAGCCACCTACGACAGACTTATAGTATATGAGCACAAGTGCACTCTCTATTTCCTCACTCTTATTGTTGAAGGAACAAGTCCCACATGATGGGAGAGATATCAGGTACACGACAAATGGCTTTTCGTGATTATTAAGACGGGTGTAAAATACCGCCATCTTTGTGACTCCTTCTTGTTGTTGAGAATTACTTGACTTTCTATCTGAAGTGATGGAAAACATTATTAAAAAACTTGAATATCAAAGTTTATTTCGATGACATAATACCAATATGTAGAATGGCAGGATTTTTTGTCCATCACCTTTTCAAAAATAAAATTTAATTTGTGAACTTTAGTAAGAAATGTATATCCCAGTTAGTTAGTAGTTATATCCCAGTAGTCACCACACTTTCCTATAAAACTTCGCATTATATATTAGCAATAAGTAAATTCTAACATAAAATCATTGCAAGTTACGATTTTTTTAAGTCAATGCATTCTTAAACATAACAAACATAACATAACATAACATGATATAGAAATATGCACAATAAATTCACAATGTTAAAAAAATAGTTAGTGTGGTAGTATAGTGAAGGTTAATTCAAAACAATACATAAACAAAATTAAGCACAGCTGAATTCGATGGGTTGATATATACCTCGCCATAATTAAAAATTAAAAAGGGGAGAAAGAAATGTTGATATTAACATCTACTAGTTCACACCTATATAATATAGTACAGGTTGTTTTATATTACAAATAGCACATATAAATAACAGCAAAAACTGTTAGTTAAACACATTTGCATAAAAATTTGATACTACAGTTTTATCCATGATATTTTCATAAATGCTCTGCAATGGAACATTATTAGGCTGTCAATGTCATTTTAAAACTAAATGATATTTTCACAATACTATAAATATTGTAACTATCCAATTCATACTAGCTTTTTAAACACATGCACACATATACTATAATAATATTTTTATAGCCTCACAAAGATGCAAGATACTTAGTTAATAATAATAATGTAGTAAAACAAAATTATTTTGGAAATAATCTAATATTTCGCCTAGCACAATAAGGTAAACAGATACACATTAAAATTGAATATGTTATACAAACCTCTGCATAGTTGAAAAAGAAGTACAGAATTTGCCAAGCTTGTATAAGTGGTGCAAGCAAAAGGTTTACAAGTGCCAATAGTAATATTTGCCTCTCCAATTGTCTAGCAAGTATCATTCGCTTTGAATGGTCCTTGTAACATTCACGAAGTTGCCAGCAATTTTCCCACGGACTCCATGGACTAGCTGTATATCACAACAATGGCATATAAATTTTTCATATGCCAATAAATAGGCTGATTAATTGCACAAAATATTATAAGACTACTCACAAAACAAAAGGAACTCTAAATTCCATTTCAGGCCTCTGGACAAATAATGAAAATCACCCACACAAGGCACATGAATTTGCAAAGGCAGTAAGTTCTTGTTGACCATTGCAACCATATAATTATTAAACCTAAAATCAATATTGTAATTAAAGTATTTAAAAATAATCAGATCCATAATAAGTTCTTACAGGTTTGAATTAGGCATACCTGAGTATTCTATGATATATATCTAATTCGTTGATTTCTTGTTTATGGACACATATATGATGTTCAGGCTGTGCTTCTCTCACTCTATCTTGTACTGTAGACCAATTTATCCATGCTAAATCACTCTGCAAAGAGTTTTGTAAAAATTTATTAAATTTTAAAAAGTGGCAATAATTGTTGTATGTAAAGGGGAATGGCAGATTTAGTACCGCATACTCTTTTCGTTGTTTTGTTATAGAATTAATACCAGATATTAAGGCAACTAAGCCATTAATTTTCATGTAAGTTTTTATATTTTTAGAACTTGGGATTAGTTAATAATATCAATAAAAAGATTTTAATAAATAAACGTAATATAAGCATAAACTAAACGCAATGAGGGCTATCGCGTATGAATTCGCCGCTAGAGGCGCTACCGCTAGTGTAGAGTGAGGTCTCCGATATGTCAAATGTCACTGTTAGTAGTAGGTGGGCTACGCGTGTTTATTTCTTTTATAATAATATTGTGAATATATTGCAATTCCTGAGATTAATTATGGCCAATATGAGTTACGGGTCAATGAATGTCAGCGCTTTAAAAGCGGAGCTAAGAAAGAGGTGCAAAATTAAGTGGGTTGAAAGAACAGTTAATTCAGAGGTTAGTTTGTTTACTATCTACAAAAACATTTTTTGTCAAAATTATGCTTATTTACCGAGTTTACAGCAATGTTTTCTTTTTACAGACTTAAGGACTATGATGGAAATAATAATTTTAATAGAAACATAGAAGATGAAATACTACAAAATGATTTGGCGTATATTGTTGAGTGTCCTTCAGACAGTTTGTATAGCAGTATAACATCGAAAAGTGTATCACCTAACTTGGACATAGTGAATATTACCACTTACTTTTTAGAGGTTTACAAAGACAATGTGGGAATGACTGAGTATACTGCAGTTCACAAAAAACAATACAGCAATACAATGTCACAAAACGAAAACGTAATAATATATCCACGTCCTGATAATACTTGTGGTACTGTACAATGGATGATTATGTTTTGAACAGTGTAATAAACTATTGCTCTTCAGAGAAAACTTCCTTTGGTATAAGCGGTGTGTTTGAAGTGGCTTTCTTGCATGGAATATCTAATGACCATGATTACCTTAAACTACTTAAATATGGCTTCTGCGCTGAAGGTTGTGAGTTTTATTCTCACCAAGGACAAACATTTGTGTGATGAACATAGATGTTTGTTCTGTGTTTTGTGTTTGTATGTATTTACATTTTAATTTTAGAAAATTTGTTTTAAATTATCTCTAGTATGTACGCATAGTATCTCAAACTAGACAATGCTAATTTAGATGATTTTAATATGTATAAAGATGTAACTGTTAATAATCTTGTATTGTATGAAATATTTGCTAGAACTCTTATACATTGTTTTGAGCGAATAAATAATTTTGGATTTCTGTGCAGTTTCCCCACAACGGTATATGGTTAACGCTTGCCATGCAAAAGGCATTACACCTAAATGTTGCTAAACCTGGGACACTCATGAAGTGGGTTCTACTAACAACAAGGATCCCTTTTCCTCTACAATTTATTCACGCAACAGATATACCATATAGCTATTTGTAAAAGGTTTTCTGTAAGGTGGAGGCAACCAATTATTGTGTCTCAAGAACCATTCTCCAGCTTAGGTTGCTCAAAATCAATCAGGAATCTCGCTGTATCCTACCCATTATCTTGTTTTGTTTCTTTCATGCTTGAAAATGTTGGGTACAACTTATGTCTATCGAACTTAGTGCTTAATTTGTATTTCATCAATACTAATTTTATATCTATGGCCATCTCATGAAATAAATTATTTACAGATGTCATCCATGAATGAAGTTTGTGAAGTTTGCTGGGACAAAGCTCGAGATTTGAGCTTACATGTACCAGAAGGACCACAAGAAAGATCCCAGCATATTGTGTTGCCCAATATAAGAATTTTCGCTTTCATGCAATATATACACTAGAAGTATCCCGAGAGAGAATAGATGGTTTAGAGAGAATAAACCCAATCTTGATTCATGCTAAAATTAAGTCCCGCCATTTTTCCACTAAAACTTTGTATTTATAGTTGCAGAAACAAACATGATTGGGCGGGACGCAATCAGAAGTTATTGCTGTAACTGCATTGTAGGTTTAAGAGCAGTGGGATGCTACTCACATGTTATGAGTATTATTTCGTACCTAAGCCATGCTCTCCATGAGGGTATTACCCAGCCTGCCCCCTTCTTAGATGAAGTTTTATTCAGATTCATTAATCATAAGTACAATAAAATAAATGAACTTAAAAAACAAAATATTTTTTATTTACCTACACTCAAAACCCCATCAGAACTTTATCATTATCAAATGTTGCAGTCCGCTGCTGAATATAGCTATCTCCTAATTCACAACGCTGAGTAGATACCGATCCTCATCTCAATCTACCTACTTAATGGTAGAACCACGCTGTAGCTATAATATAGTTGTAGCATGAATGACTGCTCGAACGGGAAAGAACCATGCTCTCACAGAACACCAGTGTAAAATATCAGTTTAATACTGCTGTGTTTCGTATGGTGAGTGTAGAGATCCGGAGACCCTTTTTTACTGGAAATGAGGCATTCGATCCTAATCTTCAGAGGTGACAACACATCTGAATTCTGATCCTAAATCGAGGATAAATGTAGATGTCCATGGGCCACAGCATCCACTAAGCATCAGGTGGACTGTCTGTTCAATTGTCACCCTTGTTCTATAAAAAAAAAACGGTTAGTAAAGCACTTACAGAGTAGCGAAAAGCAATATAGAATATTTACTTTATCACAAAAACAATGTTTATTTGCCTATATGTAACATAGGTACACTAGGAGAGGTTTTGGCCGTCGACGGATTGTTGTACAATTTGTCGCTCCTGTTTTGTTACTTGAATAATGGTTTGAAGTAGATTTTGATTCGTAAAAATGATGCGATTTTGTGAATTGTCTGCGCGTGTGAACTACTAGAGAAAATTGTGACGCAATCAGCATATTGTGATGAAAAAAAATATACAAAAACGAAGATTACGAAAGAAATGATAGGCTCAGAAGGTCTAGAATCCAAAGCCGTAAATACCAGTTAAATAAAAAAAAATTGTGACACTAGTTCATAATATTATATATTAGTCTATGGTCTATGTAGATAATCTTAAAAATTAAAACTGATTATAACTGTTATCTCCCAAGTTCTATAAAATCTAAGAATTTATAAGGGGTTTGTCTATCCTACTATCTACCAATTAAAACCAAAAATATCCCAAATAACGAAATTTTATTAGCGGTACGAAACTCCCATACAAGTCTGCCATTTCCCTTTGATAAAAACATTTGGTACTCACCTCATTTATTTTCAGTGCACTATTATAAAATAGTTTTGTATCATAAGCATAATAAAGATGGTATATTGATAATATTAATCTCATAAACCATATGATTGCACACAATGCAACAACACACCACCTGAAAAGTAATACAAATTAATTTAAATAGTACTCATTTATCTACTTAAGCCACAAAAATGAAGTAATTGTCATGATAGCTGCATAATATATGTGGTAGAGCAATGTTGCAGCTACTCGTATATTATGGTTGTAGCATGAATGGGTTGACTCGACCAGGGAAGGACCACACTCTCACAGAATACCACTGTAAAATAGCAGCTTAATACTGTTGTGTTTTGTATGGTGAGTGTAGAGATCCATAGACCCTTTTTTACCGGAAATGAGGTATTCTGACTTAGTCCTCAGGGGTGACAACGCATCTGCATTTTGATTCTTAATTGAGGATAAATGCAGATGTCTATCCACAGGTCACAGCATCCACTTACCATCAGATGGACTGTATGCTCATTTGTTGCCCTTATTCTACAAAAAAACATATCAGCCCATATTGTTCCGATGATGTCAAAAGGTGTTTATGGGACATATATAAAAGATCTTATGGCTTTCCTAGTTAATAGATGGCAGTACAATCACCTTGAAATAATACTAGTTTTTACGGAATTTATCGCGTATATTTAACTTTTTAAATACCCTATATAATATAATAGTATATTTAACTTGTTAAATATATGCGATAAATTCCGTAAAAACTAGTATTATTTCAATGTGTAGTGTTCGCGTAAATATAAGAAATCATTATACAATCACCTTGTTTATGCAAGGCGTAAAATACCCAAATTGGCAACAGGCAGCATTGTCAACGCAGTGAAGTCTGCAATCGTCAATCTACCTGCCAAGCAGGGCTCCTAGCAATGAAGGCAAATTGTCTCTACTACAGGAAAAGCCCTAGTGCAGCAGTGGAGTATTATAGACTGATAAAGAAAAATGAAGTAACAACCATGAGGTAGTGCCATAAGAGAATGCATCACCGCATTTCCTTCCAAGAAATTGGTACAAAGTGACTATGGAAAATCCCTTTTTAACTATCTTGATTACACCAGACATAAAAAAACAGACCTGCAACAGGGAACAGCAATAAATATATGCAATTTCTGATTCTGCCATTGTCAAAAAAAGCAAATCCTACCTATTAAGGGAGAAACCCATATCCAGCAGTGGATTTTATGGACTGAAGAAAACCAAGAAGAAAAGGCATGAAGGAATAAAGCCATTTAAAAAATATACTACTTGTTTTTAAGTAATACATATAGTAAATTAACATCTAACAGTAACAGATAAAAGAAAAACTACTAACCATTTCCATGATATCCTAGTAACACATTCAGAAGTAGGGTATATTACATCATTAAGGCTCAGTTTCTCAGTCCTGTTTACATTAGGATCATTTCTAAATAACTTTGGATAATCAACACAATGTACTAAGAAAGTTGAAAACCACACAATAAATATAAATTGGAGCAAGTAAAACAGATCTGACATAATCATAGGATAAAAACCACCACGCACATAGTATTTGTACATTCTTGTAAAAAATGAGTCAAGATCATCAATATGTGTCCAACCACCTGCAAACAACATTATTATATAACTAGATATATCTATGTTGTAGACAAAAGAGAATTGGAATTACCTATTTATGTCACCAAATAAGAGCTTGCATAGCTGTAAGGCATTCCATTATAGTCATCAGAGGTAAAGTCACAAATGGTGTGGAAGTTGGTATACTGACATTGCACTATATTAAAACATAGCTTCCAGGTATAGCAAATTTTTCCAGATACAGTAAAGAACCATCCCAGGTAAGCTCATGTAATTTTTAGTCAGAAGCTGACTTTTTACTAAGGTATATCAAAGCTTCAAAAGTTTCGACACTTGAAATGTATCAAACTTTGAAATTGGCTGCAAGTGTTCAAGGACTGCAGTAACCATACCATCAGGTGGACTGTAAGTTTATTTTAAAAAAAGTTTTAGGTACAAAAATATATTTTTTACAATTAAAGTTAGAGATAATAATGACATATAAAATGAACAGAGGGAAAAAAATTAATCAATGAAAATAACTACAGACAAAAATCAATGCACTATGCATACTATGTACATTATCTGTTCTAGGTTAAATTAAGATTCAACAATAGTTTTTAGAGGAGAAAACAATGAAAATTGCATTGAATTTAGGGATTAGAGGTCTACACTACACCCCAATAAAATCCATAGTTAATTAGCAACCGTTAAACTGTGCCATTTAAAAAATCTTATGAACTATGTTATTTAAAAAATTAACTTTTAATAAAAAATAAAAGCTGACTATGAACAGCTAAAAATAATAATTAAAATTGTTTTACAAATGGTAATGGTATTGTGTAGAAATACAAAAAAAAACATTCAGTTAAATTGTAATTTCCTTTTTTTTAAATCAGCTAATACCCTGTGTTCATCACCTTCATTATTTTTATTACATTATTTAAAAATCCAATGCTTATGTCCTGAACAATAATATTTTTCTCTAGATATTTAAAGTTACCATAATTATATTTATTTAATATTATTATATTATAGTTACTATATTTTTTGTATTAATATAAAACCGCTGTATTCTGATTAATAAAATGAATATGCAATCAATTATTGTCCCATGAAATATAAAAGATATATCATTACCTATATACTGAAACAAAGAAACTATTGTTTTGACATTACAATATTATATTAAGCAACAGTTATTTTGAGCTGTTTATATTTAGGAGTACTATTTTTATACACAAACAAAGGAAACATTAGGTAGTAAGTATTCAATCACAGTAATCATAATACATAATATAAAATTACCTTTTGTTTTTGGTACTTTGTGTATGATAACATTAGTCGAATCGTCATGTTCATGGTCCAGGGTTATCATTGTTGGAGCAGCATTGGTGTTTTCCGCAGATAGTCCCAGTGGTGGAGTTAATTCGTTGTTCAAAGCGCTATATGTTATATCACGTCTACTGAATTGTGCCATTATTTTATCCTAAATGCTAACACTAATTATTATTTTCTACGTCTAATTATTCCTTGCAGTGGCCACTTACTGTCTACACATTCTTGACTTTGTCTCAGAAACAAAAGCTTTCATATGAATAGTTCTTAAAATACAAAGGATTTTATTATTAACAAAATTTAAATGTAGTAAACTCATCAGTAACACAGTAAGGAGGTCCTCATAAATAAGAAATTAATATAGCTCAAGGGTACAAAGAATTTTGTAAGGCTATACTATGAATGTACTGCACAAATGAAATGACGAAAATAAACCAGCGAAGAGTGACAGATCGTTTCATAAAACAATAGCAAATACCAAAGATATTGTTGTTGTTACAATTCGCCAACTAAGGCAAACAAAGGTCTTAGACCATACAGCTACTTTTATGATTTTTTTAAAATCTGAATTGTCTAATGTTACCTTTAAACGAGCAATTCTTTAATATATATATATATATATATATATATATATATATATATATATATATATATATATATATATATATATATATATATATATATACATAGGAATCTCGGAAACGGCTCCAAAGATTTTCATAAAATTTAGTGTCCAGGGAGTTTCCGGGGCAATAAATCGATCTAGCTAGGATTTATTTTTAGAAAATGTCTCTGTAGCTTAAGTGGATATCAAGCGGTCGCGAAATCTTAATGCCTTGGTTCGCGTCCTGTCATCGGTCCGACTTTTTTCCTTTTTTTTTCAAGTTCCCTTCTTTTATGAGAAAATCTATTATTTCGAGCCCTTTTTTTTACTATTTTTTTAAAAATACGAAAATTTTAATTAAACTAAATGCACTCATGCTTTTTGATTTTTATTCCAATAACCAGTTCAGTCTTTTGTATTGTCAATAAGATCAAAAAATACTATTTATGTTTCATTAGTATGTAATTTGTGTCTAAATATAATTTCAAACAAAAACCGAGCAAAGCTCGGTCATCTAGGTACTTTTACAAGTATAAGAAAATAAAGTTAAATCAAGTCTAGTATTAAATCTCTAGTCAAGTAGAAATAAAAATGAAAATACATCCACTAACTCCACCCGTAGACGGGCACGACGCGTTCCAGCACACACCGCGTACACACCATACACCGGCGTACCTGGGTGGCGTAGCTGGTTCTCACCGCCCAGACCATCGACCGACACGAGCTGAGAAGTCAGAGGCGGGGGACCGCACACACTCCCTCAGACAGCGGTTAGATAGCTCAATAACGCCTAACAAGGTGACATGATGATTGGTAACAATACCAAACCATAAACCATTATCATCGTCATCCTAACGTTCATTACCTTTCCCTATTATTAATTAGACTACCTCTAACGTACTATAGATTAGTAAGTATGAAACAACAGAGGGAAACTAAAACAGATGAGCAGCAGCATCTTTCTGATAAACAACTCAAAATAATAATAAACACCGCTTGTCGAGGGTGACCACTATGGCAAAATACCCCCTTTGAGTCAATCTATGGGTTGTCCTTCAGCCGTAGACAGAGAAACCTATAGACAAATTGACGCCTTCTTTCGCATTCGCACACGAAAAAGATAGATTTATGCAACGTACGTACGTCTTGCATATAAATGAGGCAGAGCGGTGTGATTGTTTGTCCCTTTCTCCATGCCGGTTTTTTTGTATAGCAAACTACACTTTACCAAACAACTTTGACAGTTCTTAGCGATCAAAGAGTTTAAAAGTTGGTTTAAGTGAGAAAAAATGAGCTCACAAAACGAGTTTAAGATTGGTGAATATTGTTCAGTTCAGGTCTTAGAACAATTAAATTTTTTATCTAAATATGTTTAAAAGTCATAAAGATAATCGTATATTGATTAAAACTACTTTTACGGATTTTATTTATTTCGAATACCCGACGTTTCGGGTGCTTTCGAGCACCCATGGTCACGGGGGACTGAGGTGACTGACGTCCCGATGTCAAAATTAACCCGGAGTATCTTCAGCTTTTTAATTATTGTCTTTGAGTCCGATCTACGCAGAATGAACTAACTGTGTTTTGATGTCTTGTAGTGGTATGCTTGGGTTTAGTTTTAATTTTATTAATTATAGGATCCCAAGCAGGTGGTAGTACCCAGCCTCCTTCTCTATTGAAATTAGGATGTTTTTTAATTTCAATAGCCTCACGTATCATCCTTGGTAGGAATCGATGTTCTTTCGCGAGGATTTGTGGTCTATCAAATCTGATGTAATGGTTGGGGCCATCTAGGATATGATCGCAAACTGCACTCATACTGTATTAAACAACTGTATTAAAAATAAATAAAACGCGATAAAATCCGTAAAAGTAGATTTAATTAATGTATAGTGTTCGCGTAAATATAAGAAATCATAAATAGATGTAATATTATACAACTTACGAAGAGAAATATATCAATATTGCCTAAAACCACTTTATTTTTATACAGTTCTGGACCATATTCCATGGCAATTAAACTATATAATACATTACTCAAAGATATAGAATAGAAGAATATAAGAAGTTTGTGATAGCACTAAATAGCTTTTTGATTAAGAAATGTTACTGTAAATTAGATGAATATTATGTTAGGTTAAAGTAAATAAATAAATATAGTAATGGAATATACACTAAATACTATAATAATATAAATATTAGTATTAGAATTAAGGCATTAGAGCTAGCTAGCTTTATTTCATATTGTTATACCCTTGCTGGGTGCATGTGCTGTAATTTAGCATACAAAACCACATGTAAATGCAATAAATAAATAAATAAAAGACAACCACTATTTCAATACACACCACAGAGACAAACTATACCTACCACCATCAAGAATTAAAATGCTAAACCAGAGTCGCTACATGGCTGTAAAAACACATTTACAATAAATTACATATCCACATAAAAACTGAAAATAAGATTACACTATTCATTAAAAAACTAAAAGCATTATTATTACTTAATTGAAAAATGTTTTTACTCAATCAAAGAATACATTGAAGCACTAGTAACAAAACACAAATAACAAATTACATATTTTTAACACAAATAAAATACATAAAAAAGGAAAAAGCCATTTTGATACATGGTAATATTATGAACAGTATCAGTAGAAGAGAAATTATGTGTTTATGTAAAATGTCACAAATACCTTTGTATTTTGCATGATTTATTATTGTTCATTTATTAGACTATATTTTTGATCATTAATCTAATTTCTCTATAATGTTTGTATTTAATAATTTATTTTATCTATACTTTCTCAAATTTGCAATGCCTAAATAAAGACAAATTGTTATTATTATAAGACCATTTATGTACACTTGGTTGGCAAATAAAAGTTCATTGATTGATTGACTAACATCATGTGTTGTAGTCATATACCACATGAAGCTTTATTATGGTGGTAGTATGAATCAACTCGACTAGGGTAGAATCATACGAGGGTGGATTGAAAAGTACTCGGCCTAACCAAGAAAATAAACACATACTAAATCAGTTATATTTTTATTTTTCTGCATAATCACCATCAAGTTCAATACACTTTTGCCACCTCCCCTTCCAAGCATTTAGACCGTTGAAAAAAAAATGATTCTTCCTTAGAGTCAAAATATGCGTCTACAGCTGCTTTGACCTAGTTGTTTGTCGAAAATCTTTGACCTCCCAAGTGCTTTTTTAGGTTAGGGAACTGAAAGAAGTCTGATGGTGCCAGATCAGGTGAATTTTGCGAATGTGGTAATAGTTCAAAGCCACAGTTGTGAATTTCAGCCATTGACTGTACTGACATGTGAACACGGGCGTTATCTTGATGAAACAGGACTTTTCTTCTGAGCATTCCTCGACGTTTTTCTTTTATTTCCTCTCGTAAACGACGTAGTAAGGTGCAGTAGTAATCAGAGTTTATAGTCTGACCCCTTTCAAGATAATCAATCATAATCACACCTAATGATTTCTTGTATTTACGCGAACACTACACATTAAAAAAAAACACAGAACAGATACAGAGAAGCCATGGCTGCCGAGCTCCAACATGTCAAGCAAGTTTTGCATGACAACAAGCTTCGGGTCCCGCGCCTACGTCACAGAGAACGAGTGAAGCCGGCCACAGTCGAGCGTGTACCTGCTGTACTGCCATATGTTAGAGGAGTCACTGACAAGATTGGCTACATCTTGAAGCGCGCTTCCATCAAAACATACTTCAAGCCGCCGAAGAAGATTGGTCAGTTTTTACCATCAGTCAAGTGTAACGTCCCTCTGCAAGATGCAGGAGTGTACAAGCTTGATTGTGAATGTGGTCTCTCCTACATAGGACAAACTAAAAGATTCATTAAAACCCGCGTCAAAGAACATATAGCCGATGTGAAGAATCGACGCTCCGGGAAGTCTGCAGTCTGTGAACATGTACAGGATCGCCCCCGTCACTACATCAGATTTGATAGACCACAAATCCTCGCTAAAGAACACCGATTCCTTCCAAGGATGATTCGCGAGGCTATTGAAATCAAAAAACATCCTAATTTCAATAGAGAAGATGGCTGGGTGCTACCATCTGCTTGGGATCCTATAATAAATAAAATTAAATCCCAACCCAAGCATACAACTCCAAGACTCCATGATACCATAAGTTCATACCGTGTAGATCGGAACAAAAGTTAAATTTTAATCTATGGTAACCGCGGTTAACTATGACAGCTGGACGTTGAACATCTCAGTCCTTCCCGTGACCATGGGTGCTGTAAAGCTCTCGAAACGTCGGGTAATTAAAAAGTTAAATATACGCGATAAATTCCGTAAAAACTAGTATTATTTCAATAATCACACCTTTCGAGTCCCAGAATACTGAAGCCATCACCTTATTTGCCGACAAAATCGACTTAGCCTTTTTAGGGGGTGGTGAACCAGGTCTTCTCCACTGTTTTGATTGTTGTTTTGTTTCCGTTGTACAGTAATGAACCCATGTTTCGTCCATAGTAACAAAACGATTCAAAAAA